ATGCAATTTATCTATAGAGCAAGGGATAGTAAAAGTACCTGGGTCCTTCTGCTTCGGCGGAAGCTTGTTCGGTAGAATGGCCGAGCACTTCTCGCTGAGCTCCACAGTGGCCAGCTCGCTCAGCTTCTGCTTCTTTGAGAGAAGATCGTTCAGGAACTAGGAACTTCGCATACTTAGGCATTTGAGATAGTGTCTCCATGAAAGGTACTTGGACATTCAGCTTCCTAAGCATGGACATGAAGTTCCCGAACTCTGCCTCTAGCCTGTCTTTGTGCAACCGAGTAAGGAAGGGGAGTTGAGGGATATACTCCTTCACTACTGGTTGCGGTTTAGGCGCAGGCACCTCAACCTCCTTCTCCGCTTCTTCTTCAGCCGCTGGAGATGCCGAGACAGGGGCATCTCTCTCTAGTGCCCAAACAGGTGGATCAGCAGTCATCTTGCCTCTCCTGGTTGTGATGGCATTGCAGTGGGCATTCGGGTCCTTCGGATTGGGAATGGTATGACCTGGCAAGGTACCTGGAGCCCTTTGCGCCACTGCTTGAGCCACGCTCCCCAGCTGGGTTTGGATATCCTGCAAGACAGCCTGTGTGTTCCTCTGGCCAGCTTCAAGAGCCAGGAATTTACCCGAGGCCTTTTCCATGAACTGCTCGATAGTGTTGAATTTCAGAGCACTAGAACTGGCAAGAAAACCCACCAAGTCCCGCAGTTCAGCCATCGGATCAGTCTGCACTGGGGTGGCAGGGGCTGCACCTGGCTGCTGGAAAGGTCGCGGCTGTGATTGAGCCGCATGCCCCTGCATGGGCTGGTAGAGAGACTGCAGCTGCTGCTGCTGGAATTGCCCCTGTCTGGGCTGGTACGGAGGCCTCTTGAAGCCAGGTGGTCCCTGGGGGACTGGTGGTCTGGAATTTTCCCCACCCTAGGAGAAGTTGGGATGCTGGCGCCACCCCTCGTTGTAAGTGTTACTGTAGGGGTCATTTCGCCTAACATTATTGATGAAGTTCACTTGCTCCTGGGGTGTGGTCGATTCCTTCATCGCCTGCAGTCTTCCACCGTGTGATGGGTGCTCTCGCACCACTGGCAGAGCATCGCCTGCTGCTGTCCGGTCCCTGGAATCATCCCAGAGCGATCGATGGCTGAAACCAGCTTCGACACCACCTACACCAAATTAGATGTCTGGGTGGCTACAGAATGCACACCCCGCCCTGGTGCTCGTCTTGATCTCCTTGCAGTTCCCCAATCATACCCGTTCTCTGCCATCTCCTCAAAGAGTTGATTCAGTTGTGGCGGTGTTTTGGTCAGCATGTTCCCGCCACAAACCGAGTCAATAAGCTGCTTGTCTTCTGGGAAGAGGGCATGGTAGAAGGTTCCCACCTTGAAAGCATCATTGAAACCATGATTGGGACACCGCAAGAAGAGGTTGTTGTATCTCTCCCATGCGTCCCGGATGGTCTCATCTTCATCCTGGATAAAGTGGGTGATCTGCTTCTGCAAGTCCGCCGTTTTTGACGGAGGATGATAGCGGGTGAGGAACTTGTCCGCCAGGTTGGCGAACGTGGTGATAGAGCCTGAGGTCGAGTGTCTAGCCACTCATTGGCTTGCCCCTCCAGGGTGAATGGGAAGTACCTCAGCTGGATGGCATCTGCTGGGACCCCATTTATCTTGATTCCATCGACGAGCTCGTGGAATCGCCTGAGATGTGATCGGGGGCACTCCCCCTCTTTGCCACGGAACACCACTGAACCGCGCAGCATGGTGATGACGGAGGTGCTCACCTCAAAACTGTTGGCTGGGACATGAGGGTGTTGAATGGGCTACCTCATGTCCGCGGCCCTGGCGGTCCAGTAATATCCCATGGTCCGCTCCTCGGGAAGGACCACATCATGGTCCTGTGGATCCCCCATCTCTTCTTCTTCAGCGATCTGCAGCTGTGCTAGCTCCTCCTCCACAGCCAGTCGTGCATTTAGAGCCCGCTTGAAGTTCCTGCAGGTTCGTTCAAGCTCCTGGTCTAATGGTAGTAGATCTCCCGACTGGCTACGGGTCATGCACTACTTGCACACAATCAGCAGAAGCAACCCGTGAAGGCACACAGGTGGAAGAGATAAAATGCAGTAAAGAAAAAGCTAGAGTAACAAATTTTCACGTTTCTCCAATAACCTAGAGGGTTCCCCGGCAACGGCGCCAAAAACACTGGTGTCCCCCTGCTCTCCAAGTGTAATCGCAGTCCGGGAATGCAGTAAAGTGGCAAGTTCTATTATCAACCCGAGGTCTAGATCTACTGCCTACTCCGTGATTATCTATTATCTAGCCAACTAAGTCAAGTGATTGTTGTTTTAAGCAAAAGCAGTAAGAAAGCAGGAATTGGTTCGGTTTTCTCAAGCAAAGAAGAGTCACTCGGGAATGAGTCCCCCTAGCACCTTAGTTAGGTCTCAATTGTAATTACCCTGGGTTGATTTACTGTTGATTAGACTGCGGAAGATCCGACAGTAGCTTGGAATCTCTAAAGCTGACCAAGCCCTCTTAGTCTAACTACCCGGCAGACGACTAGTCTTCACCGGGATAGAAAGCTGAAGCAATAAGCACAGAACTCCACTACTGGAATTGGATTCCAGTACAAAGCGGTAAACTGGCTAACTCTCGTATAGCCAATCTCCTACTACCGAATGAAGAAGCTCTAACAACCTAATCAGATTCTATCTATCTCAAGTTGCAGCATAAATCAAGAAAAGCTGATCAGACTTCAATCAATTCAATGAAAAATGCATCATTCGATTAAAACCAAACAGTATAATCATCCCAAGTCATTACAATCAAATCCCTAACACATGGAACTAGGGTTCTTCATACCCAAGTGAGAGAAGGGTTCTACTCCATAGAGAGAGAGAGAGGAAAACAGAATACAAAGCAGTCATACTCATAACAATGGGAAGAATCTGCTCTAGGATGATGATTTCCACTCCTATGACGATCTCCAAGCTCGATTTGATGAAACCCAACTCCAAGATTGCTTCTAGGATGTGTTCATCGCACTTTCTCTCTCTAGGGCTCTGATTTGATCTCCAAAAATCGATTCCCTCACTTGTGGCCCGAAATTGGGTAAAAACCAGAAAATCCCGATCATAGGGGCAGGCCACTTGAGATCCAAAACGCGGCGTTTCAAATAATTGCACTTCAGGCTACCTACACGGCCAGGGACACACAGCCGTGTGGCTCACCCAGTCTGCCCGTGTGAAGCCTCGCATAATCCCACACGGCCACATTGCTCCTTCACACGGCCGTGTGGATTTTATTCCTGCCCGTGTGGCTTCCTCAGCGACTCGCCGCACGTCCGATCTTCGTCCAATCGACCCCGAACTCACTCCCAAACCTTCATTCACGTACTAGGACCTGAAATATCACAAACAAGCACAACCTAGCGTGAAATCGGCCTAAAACACAAGAATTAACATCTCAAACGACTCAAGAATGGGGGTAAAAACATATGCAACTAACGGTTTATCAAGGTTCAAACAAGCAAACAAACAAAGCAAGCAAGAAGGTTGTTTTCAAGTCAAAAGAGGTCACCCGGATATGGTTCCCCCTAGACTGTAGTTAAGCCGGATTGTAATTCACCAAGTTCGGTTTTAACGATAGTATACTGCGGGAGGTTCTTAAATAGTTTGAAGTCTCGACTAAAGGTCTCCAGACCCTCTCAATCTGAGTCTCCAGTGGGCGACTAACCTCCACCGGAGTAAACAGATTGAGGCCCTAACGAACAAAACCTCCACTAACGAAGTAACTTCGGTGCAGAATAGTGAATTGGCTCCTCGACTAAAGTCGCCAATTCACCACCTTCAATTAAGGGTGCTCTATCAACCTAGGCAGATATTCTCTTTCTAGGTCAAAGCAGAAATAACAGGAATTTGATCAGGATTCATGCCATTCAACAATTCAAACCTCAATTGAATATAATCAAATCATAGAATCTGTACTTGGGTTCATACAATCAAACCTAACATACAAATCTAGGGTTCTCCATACCCAGATGAATGAAGAAGTTACTCCATGGAGAGAGAAGCAAAAGCAAGCTCAGATGTAGAAATCATGCTGTGAAGGATGGGTTTCTGCTCCTGGTCGTCAATCGGCACTTCTCCAAGTGTTAGCCGAGCTCCAATGGTGATGAAGATCAAGCTAGGGCACTTGGGAACTCTGGTTTGTCCCTTTCTCTCTCTAGGAATCTCTCTGTCTCTCTAAAACTCGGAACCCCCTTCTCCTTTGCTGCAAATTGGGTTAAAAACCCATAAATTCCCGACTCACACGGCCAGGCCATACGGCCGTGTGACATCCCCAGCTGCCCGTGTGAGATGTGCAAACCGCGTCGTTTTGATAAGTGACTCAGGCTTCCTACACGGCCACGACCCACACGGCCGTGTGGTATTCCAGGATGGCCGTGTTAGTTCCCTGGAATTTCCACACGGCCACAGGGGGTCCCCTACACTGCTCGTGTGACTTTGGCCGTGCAATTTGATGTCATACGGCCGTGTAGGTTTTAGGCCTGCCCGTGTGGCTCCATCAGCCTCCCGCCGAATGTCCAATCTTCGTCCAATCGACCCCGAACTTGTTCCTAAACCTTCATTCACGTACTAGGACCTGAAATATCACAAACAAGAACAACCTAGCGTGAAATCAACCTAAAACGCGAGAATCGACATCTCAAACGGCTCAAGAATAGGGGTAAAAACATGTGTAATTAACGGTCTATCAATAACGGTCCAGAAAGGCAACACCTCATACAAGGCGAAATCCCGATTTTCACGTCGTGCTAACTGAATGGAACATCTACATGGGAGTAGGGATGGGAAACGATGCGGTCTGGTCCAGACCAGACCATATATACGGTTTATGGTCCAGACCGAGAGGTTAAAGTATAGACCACACACCCGACCACAGACTATACGGTATGGTCCCGACCACGCCTGTGCGGTCTGGTTTGGTCTGGTCTGGTCCACATAGACCACACTCAACGAAAAATGAATAATTTGTTTAGTCAACCACACAAAAAATTGAACCAATAACCAGGAAAAATAATTGTTATTTTCCTTAAATCATTAATCCTAACATGCATGAATAATTTTGATACTCTAAATCTTAGTACATAACAAAGATACAAAGTAAAAGGATCCCAACTTGCACCATAACGTCATAAACATTAACATAATGTCATATGGAGACACGATTATCTCTACTCTCTGGTTAAATGTGGTTGTGAATGAAGGAGGGACGAGATTCACAAAACTAAGGTTCACACTTGGGTGTCGTTGTAGGAGTTGGGAGAGTGGTCGAATGGGCTGTTAACACGTATTGACAAGTCAGTTGGGTCCACGGTTTGGTCCGGTAAACCGCGGTCTAGACCAGACCAGACCAAGAGATCAAAACATAAGATAATACAGACCATGGACCAGACCAGACCATACTTAACAGTCTACGGTCCAGACCAAACTGTGCGGTACGGTTTGGACCACGGTTTTTCTAACTGTCTGGTCTATTTTCCCAGCCCTACATGGGAGACCATAGGTAGGAGGAAACGTACATGTACAAGGTTCCCCTTCCACTGCTACCTCGAACAACATCAACCTTAGAGCTTCTAGAGTGGCTTTCGTATTCAACTCTCGAAATGGTTTTCCATCCGCTCGGAGCAGCTTCTTTTGTCAAGAATCCTCTAGAAGCTTCCTGATTTGAAGGTGTTGAGCCTCAATGTAATCATCGTTCTTCTTGAATACCTACAGACAATGAAGAACAATTAGGAGACTACTAAAATTCTCTATGTATCAATGAAGATTTATTAGGAGACTAACCGTATCGACTGCGCCAGTAGATGATTGAAGCCACTTCTTGAAGGAGGAATGGGCAGCTTCAACCCTATTGGAGCTTGTGTTACCCAAATGTTGCACTTGATTGGTATAACATTTAGCCCACATGTGTCTAACTGGTAACCACTCAGCTGCCAAATACCCCCAAAGTCGTCGGTACTGTACTCCCCAACTACGTTTGAAATTGTCTAAGGTAGTATTCATATCTTCCACTGTCAATGCATATACAGCACGTTGCCAAGACGCCATGATATGATCCACTGTCGGTTTGGCTTCATCTATACCACAATGGTTCGTCCTTCGCACCTCCGCTGGACATTTTGCTCTCACATTCCTATCTATATGCCAAAGACATAATATATGAGTCGATGATGGAAACATTACCCCCACGGTCTCAACCAATCCTCCTGCCTTGTCACTGACAAACACATCTGGAACAATGGGGCCAAGAAGATGTTGCAAATGCGTCAGAAGCCACTGGTATGACTCCTTCGTCTTGTCGTACACTATTGCAGATGCAATGACAAAGTTAAATCCCACTGGTTTCATGCCGACAATCTCAACCCAAGGCATATCATACTTATTGATCTTGTATGTTGCATCTATCACGATCACATGGTGCCAAGCTCGCAACATCACTACTAGGGGTGGTAAACGGTATTGCGGTTAACGGTATAGCGGTTAACGATTTAACCGGTAACCGCATATCAAATGGTAGTCGAAGGTGGGATCTTGGCAAACGGTGTACCGAGGAAGGGACGGTAAATTACCGTCGACAACTCCGTATTCCAACACCGAATGGGAATGACAGCAAGTCATCAACCAAACATCGGGCTCAGCCAAAAGCCCAATACCCTCAACCTGCCGTCCCTAACTCCCTAAGCAAGGCATCCCTCTCCCCTTCCTGGGGAACGATACGTCGTCGATCCCTCCTCCGTTCGTCGAATCCAAACGCAGCCGATCCAAGCCGGCAGGATCTTTGTCGTCTCCGTCGCTGGCGCAAGCTCCACCAAGAGACACGACCCAGGCCTATTTCTGTCGACGTCCTTCGATGTTGTCCTATTTCCGTCGACCCCCTTCACTGTTGTCCTGTTGCCGTCGAACCCCGTCACCATCGGAGCTTAATTGCTCGATCCCACAGCCTGAAGCCCTGAACACAGCAGAAAACAATTCGTACTTCGTCCTCTCCTCTCCTACGATTTTAGGTAACTTATTGTTGATTTAATGACTTGTTAATTGATTTATTTTATAGGTATAGCTGTTAGAAACGGAACAAAAAAATTAGGGTTAACGATCTGGCTGAGTCACGGACTAGGTCGCTCTCTTTAAGACGTTCGCGGCACTGCCTCGTTATTCGCACAGCAGACTATCAGCCGGCCGCCTCCAGGATAAAACAGCCACTCTTTTGATTTGCTCAGCGGTTTTGTGCGGAAAACCGGAGCTCTTTGAATCTCACTCTCTCTCGTGTTTCTGCTCTCTGAAGTGTGTTTAGAGGGTCTGGGCGTCTCCTATTTATCGGAGCAGAAAACCCAGAATATTCCCTCTTTCTTTGGGAATAAGTCATATTTTAATTAGGGAGATAATTACTCCCATAATTAAAATATAATCTATTAAGATAATTATTCCTAATTATCTCCATAATATTCCTTTTATTAATTATCCATCTTATTTCCGTATTTAGAAAGAATACTGGATAATTAATTCAATATAGCTTTCAAAGCTATTCATTCCCAACAATCCCCCACTTGAATAGTTTTGAAACTATCTCTGAGCATCAACATATCCATAAGATCGGGCATAAACTAAGGTATCGCGAAGATTTGAACCTTAGCGTAGTGGTTACACTTCCGATTTCATAAGGGTGACTCGTAGTCTTGAACCCTATCTCAGACAATGTAGCACACCGAATCTTTTCATTGAGTGGTATTCTCTCATAGGCCGTGCGTTTATGGCCATGCACGTTATCCCGGTTTAGTGAACGCTCTAGCAACTTTGTGCCTCCAAAGTTCCATAGGGAGCGTCCCCACTCCCACATTCACATAGGTGAGTCTATCAAAAGTACCCCCAAAGTAAAGTACTTCACTCCACATAGAGTATAGATCTCATTAAGAGTTTAACTCAACCTCCAAGGCTTTGGGATTCATGCTTCACTATGCATGAACTTTTCTCAATATTACTCATGACTTGTTATTACCCATTGAACCCGTTTCTTGGGATCTCCAGTCTATCGGGTCGGGTTACCATCACTTGTAATCCATGGTTCGGTAGGCATAAGTCTCATACCCTTGGCGGTACTTTGGACTTTCTCTCTAGATAATCCTTTCTTCAAAGGATCAGCTAGATTCTGTTAGGACCTTACAGGATCCACCCTCATTGCTCCTATCGTTAGGATTTCTCTTACAGTACTGTGCTTACGACAAATTTGTCGTCTCTTTTCGTTCTAGAACCGGTTCCCTTCTTTAGTAATAGCTGCGGCGCTATCACAATGAATCAACTACCGGAGGGATCGGTCTTTCCCGTAAGGGAATCTCTAGTAATGACCCTCTCAATCAACTTTTCTCTTTACTAGCCATTGCTAGCTCTGTCATTTCTTATTTCTTAGTTGATTGAGCCAGGATCGTTTACTTCTTAGACTTCCAAGACATAGCTTCTCTATCGATGTTTAAAACACATCCTCTTGTTGTCTTGGAGTCCTCTATAGGGTATTCTAATCCGCATCACTATACCCTACCAATACAGCAAAAACCGTTGATAACTTATATCAAGGTCTACTGTTCTTAAGGTGTCTCATGACCCCTTTCAATAGCATTTCAATGCTTCATACTAGGACAATCAGTAAGCCTGCCAAGTACCCCCACTATGTCGAGTCTCGTGTTCACCAGCTGCCTCACGCAGACTGTCGATGCTAGTATATTCTAACTTTCTCAGTTTCTCACACTATTTCCAGTGTTCTTTAATATTTACACTAGCATCATCAACCATTTATGCAGGCACACTGCTTGTATTTCTTCTAGATCTTAACTATGTAGTTAAACTGATCTTGAGGGAATCTATTCATTGTCATAGTTACATGGATCTCCTAGCTTACACAAGCTTCATCGAGAACATTCAAAATTCTCAAACATGGTTTTTTTCATATCGACATCACGATTCTTTGTACCAAAGATCGACGTGTCATTCATAATGCAAGTGTCATTCTCAAATTTGTACTAAATGCACTTGTCACTTTCACTTTTAAAACCATGAGAGAGAACCAGTTTATTCATGCCATCGACTTAGAGTCTATTTCAAATCTTACAATGATTTGTCTAACTATAGACTCCCTAAGCATGTTCAGGAATAACAACCTTATAGGTTGTCCCATGTAGATTTCTCTATCTAAATCACCATTCACAAAATTAAGTTTAACATCCATCTGATGCACAACAAGAGCAATCAGAACATACATGAATGTTATTCTACTTATGGTGAATAGATAACAAGAGAATTTACAATTTTTCCTTTCCGCCTAATGCCTTAGCTATTGGGTGATCCTTATACTCATAAACTAAACCAATATGTTTCACTTTTCTTTTAAGAATCTATTTATTACCTAGGCTTCATTGCCAGGAGGTAATTCTCAAAGATGTCTAATCTTGTTCGATTCTACCCAGATTTATCACCCCCACTAGTTATCCATTATTTCTTATAGCAGGCAAGATACCACCCCCACTATTTCTCGATTTAAATGGAATGACATTAATGGATTCTACACAACAATGAGTATTTCATTTTTTTTTAACTTATGTGTTCTATTATTGATAGCACAATCAATAAATCTCACTCATGCTCATCTATATTGCACTGATTCTCAAATTATACCATATGAAAACGTTTTACATCAAAAGCATGTCAAAAGCATCACATCGTTAATTAGTGCAATCAATAATAATGTGATTTCACATTATTATCTTTCACCCATTTCAAAATGAATAAAATCTAAAGATTCTGATTCTCTAATCACATATTTAAGATCCACGATACGACTTTTCGGAGATCACTTCCTCTCTTCTTGCGGCGAGATCCACCGATAGATCCGAGACTGCCGCTGTGCTCCTGGGGAAAGTCTAAGAACAGGAAAAAACCTCTCAATCTCCCAAAGGCAGTAAAATAAGTGTGATCGCCGGCTAAAAGATGCGCCTCGATAATTCCGATGAAGACAATTTCGCTGAATTGATCAACATCAGCAGCGACGACGAATTGGACACTGACATAGACGCCATAGAATCCGACGATGAAGCCGAATTTGACAGCAACAATGTCGCGGCCGGTCTCTTGGACGAGCTTGAAACCGTTCCGCCGCAAGAGCTGTCTTACTCCGTCTTTACAGAATCCGACATCCGCCGCCACATCGACGACAACATCAACCAGCTCTCCGCCATTTCGATTGGAACGCGAGCAAGGTCGAGGACTCGTGATGAATCCGAAATCCGCCGGCAAGTCGGCCTCCCGGTGGCAACTCAACAGCTCCGCCCCATGCGGCCACCAATTCTGCCGCTGGTGCTGGCGGAATTACATCGCGGCAAGCGTCAACGACGGGCCCAGCTCCCTGAAATTGAAATGCCCCGAACCTTCCTGCAAAGTCCTCGTTGGCGACGATCTGATCAACAAAATCGCGGACAAAAAGAATTTTGAAAGATGCTGAAGAAGGCACTGGTGCAGCACCGATGTATGCATAAAAAAAGGAAGAGATATTGTGTTCTTAAAGAACACTCTCTGAAGGGGTTTTTTAGCTTGATGGCTCCCCTAATTTGCTGTCAATTGAAGAGAACAAAACAATTACGTGGATCTCTTGATGGATTATTTTGGGGATTTAATTGGACCGGGTAGGAAGGAAGAAGTTGTCTCTTGCTGGCGCAGACATAAGAGCAAAATTAAAGAGCTGCGGAATGGATTGCAGCAGGAGCTTGGAGGGGGAGTCTCGGGAAGGTTTTCCGGCTTGCCAATCCCGGAAGGAAAAGATTCGTTCCGCAATGACAAAGTTCCAAGTCAGGCTGGAATGGAACTGGTTGGACATCGAACGAAAAGGACAGAATGAATGCCTTCTCGAAGAAAAGGTAACAGCTGAAACTTTGTTCGCAAATTGCAAGTCAACATATGTCATATAGCTTTATGCATGGAATTGAGAATCCCAGTGAATGCTAAAGAAGAAGCTAGAACTGAGACATGATAGGTTGACATTTAGATGTACTCTTCCTGGTGATTAAAGTACAACTTGGTACGATTTAAAAGAGTAATTTTAATTACATGAATGCATACTTTAAAACATATATAAATGCATATTAAGTGGTAATTATGCTAATAGAATGGGTTGTATGCCCATATTTATTTTGAAGAAGTACTGGCTATCAGTACTAGGTGAACCACTCATGTATCCACACCAATTAGAATGGTACCCTTCGTGGTAACCAAAAGATCACTAGCCAATCCTCTAAGAATGACACTATGTTTCTCCAATATAATTGTGAGATAGTAGGTCATATGACGCGAAAGTGTATGAACAAGTCTAACATTGGTTCCATTGTTAGCTTGATAATAGAAGAGGATGGATGGTTGTGATCACTAAAATGAGAGCAGAGGTTAATCTTACTAGTAACCCTGAAGAATGGTGGCTGGATACCGATGCCTCAAAGCATGTGTGATAATTGAGTTATGCTCAAAACATACATTGAGACGCATTGAAGAAGAAAGTGTTTTTGGGCATTTGCCCTCACCACAATTTTAGAAGACATCTTGCGCGCTCCATAGAGAAGGAATATGCTTATGCTTGTGTGGTATATATGTTTTATGTAACCAAGTCAAATGACCCAGAAATATGTGATAAGAGAATCAAAACATTAGATATTGTTTGTTTTGATATTATACATTATGAGAAGTTAAGAAATGTTTTATCGATTGTTCTGGTTAATTGTATGTTTAGTTGATGTGATGCTTTTGAAATTCCAATAGTAGAATTAAAGAACCAGAGCAATATAATTACTAGTAGAGCATATGAATGTGTTTTAATTGGATAAGCTATAGTAAAACACATAAGTTTAAAAAAATGAAATACTCATTGTTGTGTAGAATCCATTTAAATCGAGAAATAGTGGGGGTGGTATCTTGCCTGCTATTAGAAATAATGGATAACTAGTGGGGGTAATGAATCTGGGTATGAACTCAGAAGAGACAAATGAACCATAAATCATTGAAGGATTTTGGTTATGAATTTGTTATTTACACCCTAAGAAGAGATCCTACAAGTCCGCTAGAAGTTCGAACTTCCATAAAGATACAGATCTGTGGGAGAATCTATTATTAACGAAATGGAATTATTGGAGTCTAATAAGACTTAAAATCTTGTAGAGTATCTCTTGGCTGTAAAGCCTTGGGTAATATATCGATAGAATCGAACAAGATTTGGCATCTTTGAGAATTACCTCTTGGTAATGAAGTCATGGGTAATAAATGGATTCTTAAAAGAAAAGTGAAACCTATTGGTTTAGTTTATGAGTATAAGGATCGCCTAATAGCTAAGGCTTTAAGCGAAAAGGAAAAATTGTAAATTTTTCCTGTTATCTATTCACCATATGTAGAATAACATCCATGTATGTTCTGATTGCTAGTGTTGTGCGTCAGATGGATTGTTAAACATGTTTCTGTGAATGGTGATTTAGATAGGAAAATTTACATGGGACAACCTCTAGGGTTGTTATTCCTGAACATGCTTAGGGAGTCTATAGTTAGACAAATCATTGTAAGATTTGAAATAGACTCTGAGACGATGGCATGAATAAACTGGTTCTCTCTCATGGTTTTAAAAGTGAAAGTGACAAGTGCATTTAGTACAAATTTGAGAATGACACTTGCATTATGAATGACACGTCGATCTTTGGTACAAAGACTCGTGATGTCAATATTGAAAAATTATGATGGTTGAGAATTTTGAATGTGAAGGATCTGTTTGAAACAAATGTTATGCTTAGAGATCCTAATAACTAGGAAAATACAAGATGTACACCTGCATACATGTTTGATGATGCTAGTATAAATATTTAAAGAACACCTAAGACGGTGTAAGAAAGATAGAATATACTAGCATTTACAGTCTGCGAGAGGCAGCTGATAAACATGAGACCCGATTTAGTAGGGGGTACTTGGCAGGCTTATTGATTGTCCTAGTATGAAGCATTGAAATGCTATTGAAAGGGTCATGAGACACCTTAAGAACAGTAGACCTTGATATAAATTATCAACGATTTATGGCTGTATTGGTAGGGTATATTGATGAGGACGACAATACCCTATAGAAGATTCCAAGGCATCCAGTGGACATGTTTTAAACATCACTGGAAGTGTTGCGTCTTGGAATTCTAAGAAGTAAACGATCCTGGCTCAATCAACTAAGAAATAAGAAATGATAGAGCTAGCAATGCCTAGTAAAGAGAAAAGTTGATTACGAGGGCCATTACTAGAGATTCCCTTATGGGAAAGACAGATCCCTCCGGTAGTTGATTCATTGTGATAGCACCGCAGCTATTACTAAAGAAGGGAACCGGTTCTAGAACGAAAAGAGACGACAAATTTGTCGTAAGCACAGTACTGTAAGAGAACTCCTAACGATAGGAGCAATGAGGGTGGATCCTGTAAGATCCTAACAGAATCTAGCTGATCCTTTGACGAAAGGATTACCTAGAGAGAAAAGTTCAAAATACCACGGAAGGTATGGGACTTATGCCTACCGAACCACGGATTACAAGTGATGGTAACCCGACCCGATAGACTGGAGATCCCAAGAAACGGGTTCAATAGGTAATAACAAGTCATGAGTAATATTGAGAAAAGTTCATGTATAGTGAAGCATGAATCCCAAAGCCTTGGAGGTTGACTTAAACTCTTAATGAGATCTATACTCTATGTGGAGCGAAGTACTTTACTTTGGGGGGTACTTCTGATAGACTCACCTATGTGAATGTGGGAGTGAGGCCGCTCCCTAAGGAACTTTGGAGGCACAAAGTTGCTAGAGCGTTCACTAAACCGGGATAACGTGCATGGCCATAAACGCACGGCCTATGAGAGAATATCACTCAATGAAAAGATCTAGTGTGCTACATTGTCTGAGATAGGGTTCAAGCCTACGAGTCACCCTTATGAAATCGGAAGTGTAACCACTACATTAAGGTTCAAATCTTCGCGATACCTTAGCTTATGCCCGATCTTATGGAACTGTTGATGCTCAAGATAGTTTCAAAACTATTCAAGTGGGGGATTGTTGGGATGAATAGCTTTGAAAAGCTATAAATGAAATTCCTAGTTAATTATCCAGTATTTTTCCCATAATACATAAATAAGATGGATAATTAATAAAAGGAATATTATGGAGATAATTAGGAATAATTATCTTAATAGATTATATTTTAATTATGGGAGTAATTATCTCCGTAATTAAAATATGACTTATTCCCAAAGAAAGAGGGAATATTCTGGGTTTTCTGCTCCTATAAATAGGAGACGCTCCAGACCCTCTAAAGTCTAAACACACCTCAGAGAGCAGAAACACGAGATAGAGAGTGAGTTCATAGAGCTCCGGTTTTCGCACAAAACCGATGAGCAACAAAATTAGAGTGGCTGTTTTATTCTGGAGGCGACCGGCTGATAGTCTGCCGTGCGCAATGAAGGCAGTGCCGCGAACGTCTTAAAGAGAGCGACCTAGTCCGCGACTCAGCCAGATCGGTAACCCTAATTTTTCCTGTTCGATTTCTAACAATTTCTACTAAATAGGATTGTTGGGAATGAATAGCTTTGAAAGCTATATTGAATTAATTATCCAGTATTCTTTCTAGATACGGAAATAAGATGGATAATTAATAAAAGGAATATTATGGAGATAATTAGGAAAAATTATATTAATAGATTATATTTTAATTATGGGAGTAATTATCTCCCTAATTAAAATATGACTTATTCCCAAAGAAAGAGGGAATATTCTGGGTTTTCTGCTCCTATAAATAGGAGACGCCCCAGACCCTCTAAACACACTTCAGAGAGCAGAAACACGAGAGAGATTGAGATTCAAAGAGCTCCGGTTTTCCGCTCAAAACCGCTGAGCAAATCAAAAGAACGTCTTAAAGAGAGCGACCTAGTCTGCGACTCAGCCAGATCGGTAACCTAGTGTTACTCAACAACACTTTCTTAATAGCATATGTCTTAGTATGCTTCGAGATACCACTATTCTGCAGAGTTACCAGCATGGTTAATCTCTGCTCTCTTTTTTTTTTCAATCATCACAGCTACCAATTCTTCTCTTCAAACAAGTTAACACTAGAACCAGTGTTATACTTGTTCCTACACTTTCGTGTCATATGACCTAATTTCTCGCAACTATTGCAGAGAAATAAAGCGTCATTCTTAGAGGATTGGCTGATGATCCTTTAGTTACCACGAATGGTACCATTTTAATTGGTGTGGATCTGATTCGGTTTGCTATGCTGATTCTTGAACCTTATTAGGGTTTGGAAACGTACAAATGGTTCTCATAGTACTAACAACCAGTACTTCTAATAAATATGGACATATAACCCATTCCACTAGCATATTCACTACCGAATATACATTCATATATGCTTCAGAGTATGCATTCATATAATCAAAATCACTCTTTAAAACACGTATACGAAATTATATACTAATAATTGATGGAAACCCATCTCAATGTCACATAGTCATGCATCAATTCTCATTCAATGCATAAAATTACAACATAGATTTTATTTTGTCATTTATTAATGACTCGTGAGGAAGGTTTTCGTTCTTACCTCTAGTCGAGAAGCCATTGCTTTTTTATTTTGCAACCAATAGCGACAAGCACTCTCTGTTTCTCTTTTCCAAGCAATTCTTCTTCCATAGCTGCCACAAACCAGAGCAGCAGAATGAACCAGTTCCAGCATTTTAGAAGAGTCGCACACCCACGACCTGGGTCCACTATCACGGCCCTCCGCCTCGTTATCTCGTCCAAAAAGAAATGGAAGATCAATTTCTATTGTGGATTTACACAGAAAAATAAAATAAAAACCATGAAACAAGAGGCAGCTTGCAGTCGCAAAGAAGATAAATGCCTTGCTAGCACTCGAGAGCTTTTGGGCCGGAAAATCAGGAGTGTAAGCCATTCTCAATTGGTGAGCCAATTAAAACATGCGACCTGCAACCTGCAACAGCTAGCAGACAAGACTCCCAGACATATACATATATATATAATATAAGTACATCTATACTAGCATATATGTACTTTTCACTCCAATGGCCTCACCGGAAATCAGAAACCGTCCATCTTCGCGTCTGTAACATCCAATTGCAGTATTTCGGCTCTGCATCCTAAAATCGACCCAATGCTCGGATTGGTGCGACCAAAATCTCTGTGAACAAATTCTTTTATGTACGTCCCAGCCTGAGTGCTAACGATCGAGCAGACATCTCATGTCGAGAGTATCCCCAGCCCTAGGCCAATCAAAAAACAATTTTCCCTCTCCATCGACCGCACCTAGAAGTTGCTGCGACATCCCAACAACATATCCATCCTTGCCCCTTCCCAGCGTGGGTTGAGGTTCTCTCAATTTTTGACGATTGAGCGATGGAAATCGATCGAGCCAGATTCAACATCCTATTCAGTAGATAAGACAGCAATAGAACGTCTTAAAATTGTTAGACATGGAACAAAAAATTTAGGGTTACCGATCTAGCTGAGTCGCGGACTAGGTCGCTCTCTTTAAGACGTTCGCGGCACTGCCTCGTTATTCGCACAGCAGACTATCAGCCGGTCGCCTCCAGGATAAAACAGCCACTCTTTTGATTTGCTCAGCGGTTTTGTGCGGAAAACCGGAGCTCTTTGAATCTCACTCTCTCTCGTGTTTCTGCTCTCTGAAGTGTGTTTAGAGGGTCTGGGGCGTCTCCTATTTATAGGAGCAGAAAACCCAGAATATTCCCTCTTTCTTTGGGAATAAGTCATATTTTAATTAGGGAGATAATTACTCCCATAATTAAAATATAATATATTAAGATAATTATTCCTAATTATCTCCATAATATTCCTTTTTTTATGAATAAGCCGGTTTTATTCCATCAAAGTACTGTCTGTACAAGGGTCATACACTGCCTGCTACTCTCCTATCTACCGAAACCACTAGTAACAATTCGTGCAAACCTAAACTACTGCAGCACTTACTCTGTACAGTTAACAATTCTTCCAGGTTACATGAACCAAAGCTTCCTCTTCTCTACTGCTAGACTGAACTTCAGATTGCCTAGCATCATCGCCTCCATTATCTGTTTCAGGTTGGCAATTAAGTCTTCTGCCTCCACTATCTTCTTCCCATATACTCTACTGCACCGCTCCCTCCAGATCGCACTAATCGTCGCGTTCCACAACACCCTCCCCACACAACAGTCTTGGAGCTTTTTCACAGCTTCCTGCAACCCAGCTTCCCACCCTCCTCTAGGAAGGTATCCCCAGCTCGGTGGAAAGACAGCCTCTATCACCTCCTGCACAAAAGAGCATGCAAAAAACAAATGGTCCCTGGATTCCTCGTGCCCCAAGCACAGAGGGCATCTATTCACAATCTCTGGCTGCCACTTTTGTATCTTGTCAAAAGTAGAGATTCGGTTTAGAGTAATAAGCCAAGAAATCAGAGAGTTCTTTGGGATGAGAATGGGCTGCCAAATCAGCTTAAACCAGGGCTTGTCCTCTTCTTTAGGCCTGAAGTGTTCCCATATCAATTTTACCTTATATCTATCCATCAGCTTCCCTTCCCAGCTTACCCCTGCTCTTGTCTTTGTCAGTTTCCCTTGGACCTGACTTCTCAGTTTCAGAACCTTGTTCCATAACCAAGCCCCTGGGGTACTCGTCTCCCAAATACTGACATTCCTCAATCGATACTCCTTGAGCCATGCTATCCACATGGTCTCTTGATCAGACAGAACATTCCACAGGTGTCTAACAAGGCAAGCTTTGTTCCAGCTATGCAAGTCCTTGAATCCTAGCCCTCCCTCCTTCTTTGGTAGGGCTACTACTTTCCATGTTACCTTAGCTTCCTTTGTTTCAGAGCCCCACAGGAAAGCTGAGCACTGCTTCTCAATCGCATTAATCACCTTTTTTGGCAGCTGAAAAATCATCATCCAATATTGGGTTATACTAGCTAATACTGACATAGCTAACTGTAACTTCCCTGCATAAGAGAGTGTTCGAGCTTGCCATCCATTTATTCTTTTCAAAATTCTCTCAACTAGGGCCTGACAGTCACTAGCTTTTAACTTCCCTGCAATTAGCGGGACCCCCAGGTACCTGACAGGTAAACTACCTTCTTGGAAACCTGACTGTTCAATTAATTCTGCTTTCAACTCTTCATCAACACCAGCACAAAATAGCTCACTCTTCTGCGGATTACACTTAAGTCCTGAGACCCAATAAAAGTGTCTAAGAACTTCAGTCACACCCTTCACCCCTTCCACTGAACCTTTTGTGAAGATCAAAAGATCGTCTGCAAAACAGAGGTGAGACAAACCTATACGCTGGCATAGAGGATGAAATGGTAAGATCTTTCTCGCAGTCGCCCTTGCTAGCATACAGCTCAGGACTTCCATTGATATAACAAAAAGGTAGGGAGACAAGGGGTCTCCTTGTCTTAGCCCTTTTTTTGCTTTGAAAAACCCTGTTAGCCCTCCATTCACACACATTGTAAACGTGGCAGAATTCAGGCAAGTTCTGATCCACCCTATAAACTGCAGAGGGAATCCCATAGCCTCTAATACAGTGAGCAGAAACCCCCAGTCAACACTGTCAAAGGCTTTCATTATATCTACTTTGATGGCACATCTAGGCGACACATTCTTCCTTTTATACCCCTTAACTAGTTCGTGTGCTAAAATGATATTGTCACTAATCATTCTCCCTTTAATGAAAGCAGATTGATTCTTACTTATCACCTGGGGCAGAACTTCTCTAAGTCGATTAGCCAGCACTTTCGACACACATTTATAGAGGAAGTTACAACACGATATAGGCCTATATTGTTTGAGAGAACTAGCATTTGGGACTTTAGGGATGAGAGTTAGAATCGTACCATTCACCTCTGTCAGCAATTTCCCAGTAGCAAAAAAATCATTGATCGCTACAGTTACCAGCTCACCAACCAGAGACCAATTATGCTGGAAGAACTCAGCTGTAAACCCATCGGGGCCAGGGGCTTTATCCCTTGGCATCCCAAATACTACTTCTCTTACTTCCTCACTCGAGACTGGATCACATAAACTTGTGGCTTCAGGAGAGAGATGATGAACCAACAGCTGCCTCACCATGTTTATATGATACCGACGTACCTCTGTATCCTCCACTCCCAGCAGCTTCTTGTAAAAGCTGATTGCTTCCTTACCTATCTCCTCAACATCGGTTACTGTCTCACCTGCCACAGTGACTAACTGTCTGATACTATTCCTGTTATTTCTGACTTTCACTGAATCATGGAAAAATCTGGAATTTGTATCCCCTTCTGCCAACCACGACTGTCTTGATTTTTGTCTAAGAAAACTTTCCTCATCCCGCTGTAGCTGAAGAAGTTGGACCTTACACTCCTGTTCTGTTGCAAAAGAATCAGGAGTAGGATGCTCCAATGCTTCTATTTAAGCTGCTGCTAGAGATGCCCGAGCTAGGAGAACCCTCTCACGCAAATCTGAGTAATGGATCCTATTCAGTTTTTTCAGCCTTTGTTTTACTTGTTTCAGCTTTTGATATAGCCTGAACATTGCACAACCCCTAGCTGGGTATTCCCACCCTTCCTTCACTAATCTCTCATACTCTGGGTGATTCTGCCAAAAGCTGAAGTATTTGAACGGCCTAGGCAAGGTTTTTTACTGGATGTCTGTATGGATGAGGATACCACAGTGATCAGAAAGCCCTGGAGGCAAGATTTTAACTGCACTCCTAGGAAATTTGCTTAACCAGTCCGTGTTCATCATTGCTCTATCCAATCTCTTTGCCAATGGGTTAGCTACCTGTTTGTTAGACCAGGTAAACCAAGGGCCATCCACCCTATGGTCTTCCAACTGCATTTCTGTCATCCATCCCCCCCAAATGCCCTAGCACTGTCACCTAGCTCAACCTCTCTTGATGCTTCCTGACTACTAACTATAGCATTAAAATCCCCTACTGTCATCCATGGTTTGTTCTTATCCACTACAGTGCTCAGCTTACTGTACAATTCCAGACGCTCCTTTGCTTCATTAGAGCTGTAGACTATAGTTACCTCATACCATCCTCCCCCTGTATCTCCCCATGAACAAACTGGTCACCACTCTCTAGAACAGAGAAGTTCAACTCAGGCCTCCATAGGACCCAAATTCTACCTACTTGTGCGACAGAGTATATATCCACAAGATGCCAATCAGAAAACCACTTCTCCTTAATAGCTTGCATTTTGTCTTTCTTAATTCTTGTTTCAAGGACTGCTACTAAATCAACCTTGTACCTCTTAACCATCTCAACTAATTCTTTATGCTTTTCAGGACTATTGAATCCCCTCATATTCCAGGATAGAACTAACATTTACCATTCTTGTTATTTTTTGAAGGTCTGCCAACCTTCTTTTTACCACCCTTCTGATGTACCATACTCTCCTGCGGAACAGGGAAATCCATGCTTTGCTTCAGGGGAGAAACAACCACAAGAGATCCAACCTCAAACTGATCTACTGAAGATAACGTTGCAAAGGAATTGGAAGCAAGACCCATCGGTGAGAGATTAGCAACAGCAGCCTGGAAATCCAACTCTGATGGAAGAATCACATTGGAAGAATGCCACTCCTCAGCTTTAGTACCTAAGCTAGTAACCAGATTGTCCACTGCCAGTTGAAGCCCTCTCCCCTCTGCTGTCCCCTCTACCCCTTGTCCAGCCTCCAGCTGAGTAACCGTCAATGCCCCTCTCTCAGACACATCCTCAGAAATACCCATTGAAACCAACTGCATACCAGCCTGAGGATCCGTAACCCTTTTTGGAGCCGAATCTCTTACTTCCTGATCACCTCCTCCCAGTTCTTGCTGACTAGCACTGCCCTCCTGGCCAACAGTTACCCCTTCTTCACAAGTATGCCCAAACCTCTGACACTTTGTGCAAGCCACTGGCTTATTGCAATATTCCAACTGAACATGAAAAGCAGGCCGACGATCCGGAACAAGCTTCAACGAGTCCGGTAGAACAGCATCCAGGCCTACCTCGACACATACCTTGGGATAACCCAGGCGCTGACCTAATCGAGAAGATTTGTCGAACCACAGAGGCCTTCCAATCATACTGGCCAGGCGAGTAAGAATCCGACCCGTGACATTCTCAAGCGGCAGATCAATGAATTTGACCCATAGAGGGATCGTTGGCTTGGAACTCTCCTCCCTAATCCCTGGCTCCCATTTACGCAAGTAGCACATATCGTTGTGAAGATGCCATGGACCACTCGTGAAGACCCAGTGCGCCACCTGCTCAGTTGGGAATTGGAGAAGAATCAGACGAGGCCCCAGCCATGAAACCCTAATCGACCCCTTCTTGCCCCACAGCCGATTTGCCCAGGATTGGACTTGCTTAATGTGCGGAGAAGAAGACAGAAACTGACCTACAAGACAATGCTGCCACCGAGCAATCCCCTCATCCTCAAGCTCCGCTGGTATGCGAAGCCCTCCATCCACGATTTCAGGCTCGACATAGACCAGGCGATTCTCCTCCGCGATTCCGAAGAGTTCCGCCCACGAGCGCTCCCCCGCCATCGAAAAGTCCCCAAAAAATTAGTCTTGGTCCGAAACTCCATAATATTTCTTTTATTAATTATCCATCTTATTTCCGTATCTAGAAAGAATACTGGATAATTAATTCAATATAGCTTTCAAAGCTATTCATTCCCAACAATAGCCGAGTTCTTTCTTTGCTGCAGAACAGAAGGAGGAGTTTGTCTTTTAGTTTAATACGCAGGTCGCAGGCACAGCATGCAATTTGCACAACACCACAACGCCACAAGGAAGAAATTCCTCTTTCTGTCGTTTTGTTACTCTACAATTCCCAATCCCATAACTCATAAGCAGAGATGAGACACAAGGCAAAACATTAAATAATCATTCACAACATTAAATCAAAATATCAAAATCAAATGATGGTGGTCTTCCACTTTGCTTGCGGGATTCCGGGTTTCATCCCACTTTGCGACAGTCGGCAAGTCGGGAAACCGTTTCCCTTACCGAAGCCGTTTCAGTCGGTAAGCTGTATACCGATTATAATCGGTATCGGCTAACGGCAATCTTGTGGGGAATTCTGGTATACCGGAAACCGGTCAAGCCGTAACTGGTTATACCGGTTACCGACCGTTTAGCACCACTAATCACTACTGACTCGAGGTGGGCTAGGCACAAGTGTGTAAGCACGTGGCGCATTATAATTTCTAATGTGTCGAGAGAACGATAATCTACTTTACTTCTACTCCTAAATTACCACGAATACTACTAAACTGGTTTATTATTCATCGACCTACTAAAACCAAAGAACAACGTACATATTTATAGAACTACTCTACAAACCCTTTCCCTCTCAAATAAGGTAAACTAATCCCAACCCAACAAGTAAACAGTAACTTACTCAACAAGACATAATAAACTAATACGAATAGCCACAATAATATGATAATTAACTAATAATAATTCCCTAATTACTAAGCCCCTAATTACTAAGCCCAACTCGGCACCAAGGCCCACGGGAGTTATAATGCACCAAACCTCCCCCCTTTGAAAAACTTCGTACCCGAAGTTTAAGCGTCATCTCAACCCGGATCGATGAAGAAGAAGCTTCCACGTAGCTTGTGATGGACGATGACGAGGCTTGGACGACGACACCCACGTTTGCGATACTTCCAATTCAATTTCAACACATCAATTGACCACTTTTTCTCCTTGATGCTCATGGCTCCCACAACTTTGAACCATGCTTCGTTGTCGATCAAATTAATGACATTGATACCGTACATAACGGCCAAACTTTTCATAATCAAAGGGAACTTAAATGCCAAAATCACCAAGAAGGCCGAATCCTTTAAGCCCCTCTACGTGGAAGTTACCACCAACTTCACTCCCAAATACATGCTTTGCTGGCTTCACTTCAATCTCACGTCCCTCTTTAGTTCCTTGCCTTGTAGCTCTCTTTCTCGGCAAATCAATTGTAACTTGTCCAAACGGGGGTAGCCGCGAAGTCACAGGTGTTGAGTTGGACAATACAATAGGCTGTCCTTCATTAAAGATCGCGACCTGTCGATGGGAGCCCAAATCTACAGCTCTTCCAACTTCAGAACTTGCCGGATTGACGCCGTATAACAAGCCCCCGGCCAACCCTCTCATACTGGGCCCGATACTACCTTGAATCAAGCTGCTCGCCATCGAGTTTGATCCTCCTCTAGCCACCACATGCTGACGGACTGTCGTGGAACAAATCCATGTCGAGGTGGTTGCTTTGGTGATTCCGGCGGCGCACCCATACAGCTCAACCTCGCGGATGATACCCGTCGTGCTTTGCCACAACCTCAACTCTCCATCTTCAACGCCACGCAAATCAGTGGCTCGATTAGAACCGAACCATGTCGCCATGCCTGGTTGAGACTCCTTAACGTGGCTAGGAGTGGACTTCCCAATTCTTGTGATTGGTGGCGGGAAGAGGGACGGAACAGCAGCTGAAGCGGACGCAAGCGCCGGCTCTGGAACAAGATTACTACCCATACGGAAGCTGGGTGGTACGGGTAATATATACCATGTGGCCGTGATGACAGTCAATGACGACTCCACCAAATTCGCTGGCTTTGTTGGGGTCGCAACAACTGGTACGTTAATAGTTGTTGTTGCTGTCGTGGTTATATCAGAAGACTGCAGCGGCTTGTCTTCTTCGTCTCCCACTCGAAGACTCTCCCGATCCTGCCCCATCGATCCGTTCTTGGAGACTAGTGAGCTTCCCACGTTCTCGGACAAGTATTTCGCTAGCCATGGCTCGTTCGTGGAAGACCCCACATAGGGCTGCTCGTCGTTTCCCATCCGGAGCGCAGTGAGCTCGTGTGCGGCTGTGAGTCCTCCTTGGCTAATTTCCAACACGACGAGGCCTTCCTCTCGCGGCCGCAGGGGTTCCCAGGCGGATTCAGCAGCAGCTTTACGCTGTTTCTTCCTCTTCTTTCTAAGATAGAATCGCCTCCCCCCTTTAAAGCGGATGTCTATGCACGACGTCGGCGTGGTGGTCATCCCCAAGGTAATACCCTCGAGGGTTAGGGTTCCAACAGGCGGCAGTGGTGGTCTGATGACCTTCGGTGGTGGTCTTGGAGTGGGCAGCCATGTGGACGGTGCTTCTAGGGTGATGGTGGGGATGATCGAGCGAGACCAATCAACTTTGATTGTGGCGTGCGAAACGGCGTCATGCGGCTCTTCAAATGGCGGCAGCGGCGGTACAATGGAGGTGGGCACTGGCGGCGACGGGGTGGTGAGGGTGACAGATGCAGTAGCTCTGTCACAGGCTGCCACAAACCTTCCGCAACAAGACAGGGCGCTTTCGGTCAGCCGAATCAGCCGATTGAGGTCATCCCTGGAGAACCATTCGGTGCTCATCGCCTCGTAACCAGGCTCTGATACCAATTGGTGCATTATAATTTCTAATGTGTCGAGAGAACGATAATCTACTTTACTTCTACTCCTAAATTACCACGAATACTACTAAACTGGTTTATTATTCATCGACCTACTAAAACCAAAGAACAACGTACATATTTATAGAACTACTCTACAAACCCTTTCCCTCTCAAATAAGGTAAACTAATCCCAACCCAACAAGTAAACAGTAAATTACTCAACAAGACATAATAAACTAATACGAATAGCCACAATAATATGATAATTAACTAATAATAATTCCCTAATTACTAAGCCTCTAATTACTAAGCCCAACTCGGCACCAAGGCCCACGGGAGTTATAATGCACCAGCGCGTTACGATCGTCCATATACTGCACATAGTAACCCTTCTCCTGAGCCACGCGAAAAGTATACTGTAAGGCTGTCATTCACTGCCTTGTGTGTTCCATTTGCACCTTTTCTGTCATTCACTGCCTTGTGGATATTCCTTGGTGGGACACCGGCTGATCTCAGCTGTCTGATGTATTGCTTATCCTCTGTAGTCAAAACATTCCTTCCCTTTGATCCCTCCGGAAATAGCTCCAACTGATGATTGTGGAAACTCAAATTAGCACCAGGATTCTTTGTATTTGCCACCCCCTAGGATCAACCAATATCCATCACTGGACCACTCAAGCTTGATCTGAAACTCGCACCCCAACTTTTCAGTAGATGCAAGAGGCCTCCTTTCCTTACTCGGATCAGGTTCCTTCGACTTCTTCTTCTTACCATGAGTGCAATGTAAGTAATGTAGCCAAGTACCTTCATTTTTATTTTTATTTTGTTCGTTGCCCTCACCAAATAAAACCCAAACCCCTTGGCAATCTCAGTAGCTGCTTCATATGCTTGCAACTCCGTAGTGTATTTCACGCCATCAATGAAATCTGAGGTGTAATCATGGTCATCCGGATTGTAACTTCCAATATCCTGCAATGTTATCAGAATTTATAAGTGATACCCCACAAATTTTAAAAAAACTTAACATTCTCTATATCGTCAATTTAACGAGTACCATATGATAAATTTAAAATTTCATAACTATATTAAATTTAATAATCAGCATAACTTCATATGCGAATCTATTATTTATGCAATAAATCTAATCTTAATTTATAATGCAAAATCTAATCTTAATTTTCTAGATTAGGACCAAATCAAATCTAATCTTAATTTAAAGCCAAATCTAATCTTAATTTCTAATGCTAAATCCTTCAATTCCAAAATAATTATGCCAATAAATCTAGAAAATTATATAAATCAAAACCCAACAAATTATCACATGGAACAAACCATAAATCATATAAAAAATAGAAAAATACTGATTTGAACAAAAAAACAAAAAAAACGCTCAACCGCAGCTCAGTTGCGGTTGGACCATGGTCCAACCGTATCTGATACAGTTGGACGATGGATACGGTTGGACGATGGTCGAACCGCAAGTGACCTGCGGTTGAACCATGGTCAGATTGTCCAACCGCAACTGAGCTGCGGTTGGACGATGGTCGAACCGCAAGTGGCTTGCGGTTGAACTATGGTCGGATTGATTTTTGGGTTAGGGTTTTGAAGGCGGATTTGAAGGATAGAAATGGAGGAAAGGCGCGGGAGAACGCTTTGGAATGTGGAGGGATTGATTTTATATAAAGCTGGCTGTAGCCTGTGGGTGTGCAAAATGTTGGGTATGGTATGAACGGACCAAATTATGAGAATTGCGGTTTAAATGGTAAAAGACTTTTAGAATTAAGGATTGGATTTGATATTTGGATAAAAAAGTTAATCCTACCTCCTATCCTACCAATCCTATACGGAGGTTCCCCTCCAGGACCATATTAATTCAAGTATTCCTGCCTCCTGCGCAAAGGAAGAAGGGTTATGAAAGTGGGTCCGGATACTATAACAACATTCGTAGTGCTGTTAGAGTAACAACAGGGGTAAAAACGGAAACTCTAAAAAAGTAATAAATAAAAAATTAAATTAAATGATTCATTATCCCACCCGTGTCCCGTACCCTTCTCTCTCCCAGGTTTTCGTGCGCCTCCGAGCCAGCTGGCGATGCTCCGACGGGCGGGCGTAGGAGTGGGAGGACGTCTACAACTACTTTTGCCTTGAGATTTCGCGACCACGGTCAGTATTTTTATTTTGGATTGCGCTTTCAAAATCGTGAACATATGAAATTCTAATGATCTCCATCTCCCCCATATATGCCTGGAACTGGAATTATCTTAAAATAACGAGACTGGATACTAAGCTAACTCCCCCCATATAATTAGTAAGCTAATCAATTTTTATACGAACTCCACTTTTGAATAATTATGATGAATTGTTTTCTGAAAAGTCTTGTGGTCATAATCTTTCTTTACTTTATTGGGTTTGTTGTCTTTAGAGAAAGAGAGGTTGATAGCTAGATTTACTAATGGATTATTGGAAATTTGTCATCATCCAGCCAGCACACGGAGCAATAATAATAATACCTAAAAATGTCAAAGTAGGAGTCTTAGATTTCTTTGTTATTTTTATTTTATTTCAAGCACACCAAAAACCTTGTAATGTAACACCATAAATCTCCTGAAACATATAAAAAACACCATAAAACACACCACAAATGTTTCTAAAGCACCCCAAAAACCTCATAATCCAGACTACAAATCGCCTAAAACATACTAGAAACACCACAAAGCAAACCACAACTATTTCTAAAACACACCAAAAACCTCCTAATGCAAACCACAAATGCGATATAACTAACCACAAAAAAGCATACTAGAAACCTCCTAAAACAAACCACAAGTCTCCTAAAACAAACCAGAAATTTCACAAAGCAAACCATAAATATTTTGAAAAGCACACCAGAAACACCCTAATGCAAACCACAAACACGGAAAAGCAAACCACAAAAAAAAAACAAACCAGAAACCTTCTAATGCAAACCACAAATATATTAAAATAAACCCAAACCCTCACAATGCAAACCACAAAATTTTTGAAAGCAAACCATAAACGTCCTAATGCAGACCACAAATATATTAAAACAAACCAGAAACCCCTCAATGCAAACCACAAAATTTTTGAAAGCAAGCTATAAACTTCTCAATGCAAACCACAAACACGATAAAGCAAACCAGAAACTTCTTAATGCAAACCACAAACACGATAAAGCAAATCAGAAACTTCTTAATGCAAACCACAAACACGATAAAGCAAACCACAAAAGGCATACAAAAATATGAGAAACCAAACCATAAATCTCACAATGCAGACCATAACATCCGGTGGTCGCTGACTGTTGACCGGTCAACGAAGACCGTTGACCGGTCAACGAAGTTCGTTGACCAAACTCCGATTACCGTCAGTGACCGGATTCCGGCGCCGATAAGCATATTCCGGCCCCGGTGACTAGATTCCGATGCCGGCAAGCATATTCCGACGCCGGTAAGCATATTCCGGCGACGGTGAGCATATTCCGGTGACAAGATAGCATATTCTGGCGACAAAAAAGCATATTCCGGTGACCGGTGACAGATTCCGGCGACCAAAAATTTGGGCAGAAAATAAAAAAATATTTTTTTTATTATTTAAACATATTTTTCATAATGACAATTATACCCCTGCTTTGATTTTACACTAGGTCAACTCATCTAATAAAAAGTCATCACAATCCTAGTTTCCTATTGGTTGGAGGCTAGTGTTGTTATAGTATCTAGTCCCTATGAAAGTAAAAACACAGCAGTCAAGTGAGACAGAGTGGGCTGGCCGGTATAGAGGAGCGTGTCACAGGCGGTTGTTGATTTCTTCTTCCCCATTTTGGTTCTTCCTACACAACACAACACAGGTAAGCTTCCTTCCTTCTCTCTTGGCTTTGATACTTTTCTTATACCGGTGACGTTGGTACTTCTAAAATAAAGAAATACAGCTTGATTGAATTGTGGAAGCCGAGTAGCGTCGTATATTCGACTGAGTCCACAACATGTGATCTGTCAAAATCAGTAGTGCAAGTTATCAGAACATAAATACATATAATTTTTTTGTTTTGGTTTTTTAATATTATGAAACCATTATTAATAGGGAATTGGGTTTTATATAGTTCAATGATGATTTGTAAATGCCAAAAGGTTGATTGTTTACTTTTCTACAACATACTTTATAAGATGTTTTTTTTTGTTGAATTCATAGCTTTATAACCAATGCAACTATAAATAACATTGTACTTAATAAGTACCAATGCATGGTACTGATACATGAGGAAAGATTTCGTACATATTACATATTAAATTAAATTAAATATTATTAAAATAAAGAGATAATATGAGATTGGCAGTTTAGATTAGAATATGGAGATCTGCATTTTAGATGAGACTATGTTTGTCTTCTATTCACTTGGTTTGACTGGGCCGAGGACACAAAATGAGGTGATTGCTTGATTGGCGTGAGCTTCCCTCTTTATTTTCATTTTTAAACATTTCGCTTTTATGATGGTTTGCGTATTTATATTTTGGTGGGAAGACCATTTGGATCTTTTGGATATTGTTACGAGACTATTTTCCTATTATTGATTGAATGATATTGAGATTTTTCCTTTACCAACAAAAAAATAACATGTACTTCAACAATATTTTTATTTTTTATTTCACTATTATCATTATATAGATTCTTGATCCACCTTCGAATTGTACACAACACAACCGAGGCACACTTTATTGTTATGGATAGAGTGAGAGCACGATTCTTTGGAATGTCAGTCAAAAAGAAATTCCAAGCAATGATAGAATTAATGGACCACCGCCTAATCATCACCTACAAATTGAGGGAGTGACGTTGAAGTTCGACATTAAGCTCACATACTACAACATCGCTAATCCAACAAGTTTATAATATTGTGTCATTAAGTTTATAATGAGTTGATATACCCTTGCATAAGTCATATCTTTTAAATTTCGACAAGAATGTGCATAGAAGGCACTGATGACAACATTAAGTTTATGATGGGTGCTAATTTTCTATTTTCCGAGCAATTTAAATTTCAAGTTTTATTAATCACTCTTATCATATTGTAACCGGCCAACGGGCCGGGGTACTATCTAGTAGTATTTATGAAAATTATAGGGCCTAAGATTGGACTGTAATGTCTTCGGTCTAATATGATTTTATCCAAACATTGATTAATTAAATATGATTCGTTATGTACCAAACCATTTCAAACCACTATATAGTTGTCTAGGATATGAATCTATCTGATTCAGAAGGGGAGAACTTGCATCAGTATCTCAATTTCAATTCAAATATGGGTTTGATTCACGATTTAGAGAGCAAAATGTCAAAATAAGTTAAAGTGAATATGACAATTAAATTTTGATATTTTAAGGTAGTATTAATAAAGTATGTCACTCACAATTAGAAATGGTAAATGATGTTGTTTGGTTAATAACGAATTGTATATACAGTCTACGGTCTAGATCGAGGGACTGGAGCACATACCAAAGATCATACCAAATATTATATAGTTTAGATCATGGTTGTGCCGGCTGTGCGGTCTGGTCCAGGACAATATGGAGCAAACATACCACATTGAGCAAAAAATAAAGAATTTATTTGGTCCATCACACAAAAATTTTGCACCAATAATCAAGAGAGAGAAAAACTAATTTTGTCTTAAAACCTAAATTCCAACACTCGCGCATAATTTTGATACCCTAAATGCAAGTAAATAACAAATACACAAAGTCATCATAGCAACTCAACCTCCAAAACGTTATAGATATTAATATAATGTCATATGGAGATGCAATCGTGTCTACTCACCAGTGAGGTGGTGGTCTGCGCTGAATGAGGAGTCGAGATTCACAAAATAGGTTTGGTAACTATCTAATTAATCTAAGATCATGAATGAATTGAGATACCTAATTACCAGTTTAGAAATCTAGATTAGATGCATCTTAAATCGTGAGAATAAAACGGGTGTTTCTCGGCAACCTTTTCCTATATTAGTTTGCTACTTGTTTCCGCCCCATAATCCATGTTTGGGTTTACACGGCAACATTTCTTCATCTTGAAAGTTGAAACACATGATCTTCCACCAATTCCATTTCCCACCAACTAGGCGCACTCAATGCCAATGGTAGGGTGGACCAATAGGAGGAGCAATTTGGATAAGATCTCAGTCCGAGTATGTGAGATTGCCAGATATTTTTCTTTCCTATCTGGATGCAGCCACCTAGTAAGATATTTTCTGAAGCTAAGCTTCTATCTATATATGGCCCCCAACCCAAAAGAGCATTCATTCGTCAGGAAAGAAATATGGAATGCTGCAGCAGCAGGCCAAATCGGAGCGACGCCCATCTGTCGGCGGAGCAGGAGGCAGAGATTGAGCAACAGACCAGAGGGTACTTCGATGGAGTAGCTCCCAAGCGCCACACCAAGCCCCAGCGGAGCGACCCTTCTTCTGCTCAATACGTCGATTCTGCTGCAGTCGACGGCGACGGCGCCCCCTCTATCCCGGAGTACGTCGAGTTCCAACGCCTCGAGGATGTCGACACTCAGGTACTTCCCTTCATTCATTTCATTTAGATGGTTTGGTTTGGTTTGGTTTCCTTTCTTCTTTCTTGCTTCTGATTTTGTGTCTTTGGGAATGGCAGAAACTGGGTGGCAGTGGAAGAAGCGAGGAGGGCATGGGGGAGGAGTTTGTGGAAACAGACTACTATCAGGATCTCAACTGCGTCGACAAGCAGCATCACACGGTAACCACTGCCACTAGGAAGAAGATAATGCTGCCTGTTATTATATTATACAACTGCTGCATATATAGTATAACAACTTACAAGAATAATGCAATTGAGATGTTGCCTAAAAATGATGCAGACAGGAACAGGGTTCATCAAGATGGAAGGCAAAGTCAACAACTTCAGCTTGGCACCTGATGGTGATGATCAGCACCATGCCAGTAGCCACAGGGGCAACCCAGCCACCAATGAGTGGATCCCTGACACTGCCCATGCTCCTGTATACCCTCTCTCTCCACCTGCTCCTGCTTTCTCCATCACTGACATTTCGAGTAAAGTGAGACTTTTTTCGGGGTGTGGTTGCAGGTTATTTTTGATTCAGATAAACCCAGAAGAAGCGACAATTGATACCAAGTCCGCCGCTGTTGATGCTCCACGTCTCATTTGCGGCTCTGTTTCAGTGCACGACTCTTGATCTTGGATGTGTGTTAGTAGTTTTCATGGGTGATTCCTTTCCTTTTATGATTGTAATAAAGCAGGCAGCTCCTACCATATTTGTGGGAAGGATCGTGTCGAGTAGTACTACTGTTAATCCCGTGTCTTCTTTGAGGTTGGATGCTATCTATTTACATTTCGGAGGTATCAATGGTGGCACAACCAATTCAATCAATTTGCACAAGTGTGCATTTCTGCGCTGGTGAAAGATGATTAACTGGACTTCTATGGATTCGGATAGTGGATGGATCCGCTTTGAATCGATGTTAAACCAGTTCGTAAGGGCGAGCCCTGAACTGAGCATCTCAACTAGGAACCAAAGCCAAGTGCGGAAAAAATCAATTAGTTAATTGCACAAACATTGGGTAATCCTAACAGTTAGAACTCAAAATTAGCAAAGGGGAAGAATGAATGCTAATGTCATCTGAGGATGATATTTGTAGCGGGAAGATATAACAGAAAATAATGTCACCGGGGAAAATTTTGTTAGACAGATTGTGAACATGAATTTACATGATTACAGGCCACGAGCAAAGTTGCCAAGGCAGAGTAGGTTTGGTTAAACTTACACTCCGGTGATGTACAAGCTAGCTGCAAAAACGATGTCCCGCTTGATTGCATTGGAGGCTAAATCCATCTTCTTGTAGAGCGCGGAGTTGCCCATTATGGAAGCGGCGTTCTTGAATTCACGGCACGTCTCGTCCAGCCTCACAATGGTCCGTACAATCAGCCCCTCAGGAACATCAGTCAGTTCACAGATCTCGGAAAAGGGAGTACCCTGCCCACGAACGGTTGATTTTCAGCAAATCAACAAAACACATGCAAATCGGCGAGAACATTTCATCTGCCACTACAAATCATTTCAAAAGGGTTATTATTATCAGGGTTGCCTGCAAGCTAACCTTTGCCCACTCATACACGACTTCAACAAGACCAAACTTCAGATTTTCCTGGGCGTACTCCTCGGGGTTTATCTGTAGGTTATGCCCGGCTTGAAGCTCTCCCAGCCTTATAGCTGTGTTGTACAATCTGATCCAAATATGATCATTGAGTATGTCAGTCATAAACCCTGCAATACATTATAGAAACAAATATCCTGAAGTTGTAGTACAACTTCGATAAGAAACAATAATTGATATTAGAGAATCAATCACCTTTCTTTTGCTTGTTTGAGTTTTGGTGTCAGTGAAGGATCGGAAGTATTCCTCTGCTGGAACACAAAGGCAGACATAATCGCTACAGCTTCCTCGGGTTCCAGGTCATCAAGTTGATTTTCAAACAAGCATTCCGTGCATATCAATTCCTCCCCTGAGTTCATCTCACAGGCAACACGACCTTTGATTTGAACTACATGGTCAGCATCAATGCACCCTATGTCCTTCAGCACATCTATCTGCAAAATGGCACATCCAGATATGATCACAACTACGTATGCAATTAGTAAAGACACAAAGCCAACCAATTCAAAGAACTACATTGATGAATTTCTGCAGAACACATAAATGGAGCAGTAAAATCCACTTTGCCATGGCATACCCGGCCTTGAAAATCCGGCATCTGTTTTAGTGCTTCATCTGATAGTTGATACTGCAGAGAATCAACTTCATCATTGTGGCTCTTTATCTCCTTTGCCAAAGCCAGGTGTACCTCCAACTTTATGCACCCGTGACATTTATTCATGGCCATCTTTTGCAGTAGGTTTGTCCATTTTCCATATGCTTCCACAAGATCGACATCCTTCAACTTCAGGTCTAAAGAGAAACCATAATGGGCCCATTAGCAACCTTTCACGTGATCAATTAGCTAATGGGGAAAGGTCACCCACTACACAAGATCCATGATAAGATTAATAATCAATTAAATCAACTCAAGTAAAAATGTTGCTAAACAGGACGTTGAATAAAAGGTACATAGGAAAATATTAAAAAAAAATCACTGATTCTATCAAGTTATCCTGATGATCTTCTGCAGAAAGTAAATGTAATCTCAATGAGGCAAAGGTCTTACCTTTTATTGGATCTAGGGGTGGAGGATACTTCCCGTCAGTTCTATGTTTCGACAGCTCTTGAACTGTCTTAGAGAAAGCTGCACTGTTACCATCTTCAAGAAGCCGAACTTGGTCAATCTTTTGTTTACGATCACATATGCTCAAAAATTCTTTGCTATCCATCTCTCTGACTTCGAAGCTGAAACCAGCTGCAAAACCCTGATATGGTAATTTTATGTTCACAGCTCCTGAAGCTTTCCGAGAGCCAGCTGAGGTTAAGTACTGTTCATCAAACCCACGTTTTGATTTGGGCATCAACATAACAGCCTGCGGGAAATCACTGCCCTTTTGGTCTTGCATGTTACCACTACTTGAGGAGATTTGCAAAGATTGTGGTAAATCAGGTTTCAGCACCAAGACTATGTGTTTCATTGTGGCTGAAGGAGCTTTCAGGACCACTCCAAGCAAATGATCTTGTGCCTGTTGATTCACATTTGAAGACTTTAACAACCAAAGACCATGTATCATGGCAAACATTAGAGATCATAAGAATTGTAGCAATTAACCCCAACAAGTTTTAACAGAATGCAGTTATGACCATTATTAAGGGGCAATTTTGATAAACCAAAAGCAATAACAACTCACTGATTGTGATCTCACAACAACCACTCTTCCAGGGTTCAGAAATTGTTGAGCAGCAGAGGACTGCATAACTGCAACCGATATTTGGTCATCATAATCTTGAGCTTCTAACTGCATCTGGTAATACTCTTCAATTGAAGGTTCGCCTTTGATACAACTACAAAATAAAAAATTGATTTTTATGAGAGAACAAAAAGTTCTAGAATCATTGGGAATTCAGCATACTCATATAGTCAAATGTTTGCTGTTGGCTTCTGTTACTACTGATGCTATATTTGTGACGACAAAGACTGTAAAATGTTACATTAAGAGATCGTAAGATGCATTCCACCCCTCCATCTTTAAATATGTACAGATACAAGAACATGATCCCAAACCTTCAAGAAGATGATAAAAATCCGAGTTCAAAATGCAGGAAGGGTGGTGGAAGCTCAATCATAAAAAAGACAGCTGCTGAAGATACCAAAATTTCTCCGAGGCAACAGAGCACAGATACATGAAACAGCACATCTGGGGTTGTTTCACAACCATGTATGGTTGATATGGGATTGTAAAAGTACTTGTAATGTCAAAATGTAGTGTTTGGTTTGCTAATAATGATGTATTTGTATTAAATCTAGTAAACCTGTCGTGTTCCAAATATGCCCCTCCCAATAGGATTAAGGGAGTGAAGAAGAGAGGTCGAACTAAATTTTCATGAGATTGTATAGTGATCATGGATAGCTGGTCAATATTCATATATAATACATTTATAGTAATCATGTATGTATTATGATTTTAAAATTCCCATCCATGGTTATTACTAAATCATCTGATTTTTCCATGTTGGCTTGTTGTCTCCTATACTAAACGTGTACATGACACAAGAACGAATTTAGCTGCTTATTAAATTATTATTAATATTTTATCTAATTTTAAATTAATTTTAATATTATACAACTAATTTAAAAATTTTAAGTCATATGTAGTGATCAACACATCCTCCCAACAAGCACACAAACCAACAAACCAAAAACGAAAGCCTAATCTACACAGGGCAAAGCTACAGATAAGGTCTTTCGACCGTAAAAAGAAAAGTTCTCTTTCGACCGTAAAAAGAAAAGTTCTGCAGAGTTGCTAGGGCACTTACTCAATAGTTTTTGTAGGCAGAGCAAGCTTCCGCAGAAGTAGTTGTTGTTTTTCAGGAAGTTTTCTCTGAGCATGGAACTCAGCGAAACTTCTCTTCAGCATATCCTCCACCTGCACTTACACTTCTCTATCAGCCAAAGCATGAATAAAGAAAATATCGACAGCAGATTCCATGTCCAATAGCTAATTCGAAATGTCTGAATAAAGAAGCCGCTAGGTCCATAATCTAGAATCAAATTCTTTCAACACATTGCAGTTCTAAAAAATTCCATGGAAAAAATGAACACCTTGAATTCACTTATGTAATGACTTCGTAAGCCTGAAATATGCCAACTGACCCTCATGTGAGAGATGTCTAACTTGCCCAGACTTTAGTGCAACCATGAGAGATGGTCTAACTTGCCCAGAATTTATTTTACGTCTTAATTCAGTTGATGCTCTGCAGATTCAGTTTGAGTAAGACTGATCCCGTTTTACAAGAACTATGGAATCAAAACTGTTATAGAAGTACCAGTGACATAATATACCATCTGGAAGAATTTGTAGAAGAGATCCATTTCCTTTTAGCACCGTATAGGATGAGACAATTTAACTGTCTAGCAGTTCTGTCTGCCATTCATGGTACTGGACAAGACAACCACAAAATGAACAAGAGGAAACCCATACCCATATCACCAGTCACTGAACAGAAACTTAACTGTTTTTTGCATAGCTCTTTTTGGTGGAGTGTAGTTCACACTTCCAAAACAGTAAAATTGCAAAGGACTTACCCATAAATGCATTCATGTTCCATATTTACACTGTTCCACATAAAGCAAATGCTAGGTAAGAATTAAGAGCAGTCATTTTAGAGTACCTTTAATTCTTCAACTCGAAGAAGATGCAAGATCATAATATACGTCAGTCGAAACTGAGATTCAAGCCTCGTAGCACTCCCAACTATTATGCGTCTTAAATCACTATCATCGGGAATCTCATCGCGGCACAAAACAACTACTGTACCAATTTTGTCAAGGCCCCTTCTCCCAGCACGGCCAGCCATTTGAGTGTATTCTCCAGGGAGTAAATGTCTGAATTCCTTGCCATCAAACTTCCTCAAAGAATCAAATATAACCTGCATATTCCAAAGAGAACAGAAATTGGATACTTCAGAATTCTTCCCAGTAATACAAGGATTATTTATGACCCTTCGTAGCCAAAGCAGATGCTTCACTTGTATATTCTATGACCATTGATAGGTAAACCGAAGAATACAAATTGTCAAGATTAAAACTATGATGTTATCACCAAGACATCAATGTTTCAGATCCTACAAGGGACGGGATCTCACTATTCCCCCTCCACCCCCTCAAAAAACAAAGAAGAAAAAATCAGGACAGATGTGTGGGTGTACAAATGGAGTATTTAGTTCTTCTCAAGTCTCTCGCTAGTTTAAATGCCTGTCTTTGCTAATTACAGTTTCATCAACCAAGGGATGTGTGCCTGTCTCTCGCTAGTTTAAAAACCACGTAAACTTACTGATATTTACAATTTTCACTTCTGCTATTGCCACACTAAGAACTATCATCACAACAAAGAGAGAACAGAGCACTCACTGTCCTAGCTGGGGCATTAACCCCCATGGCAAATGTCTCCGTTGAAAATAAGACCTACAACACGAGGACGAAACGTTAATAATCACTTCAGAACAAGCAAACTTACAGGATCAACATCAAATGTTGAGGTTTTTATTTGTCATAATAATAATAATTTGAATTACTGTAGCACCTTAATCACTCCTCGGCAGAACAGCATTTCAACAACCTCCTTTACTATTGGAAGCAGACCAGCATGGTGCACACCGATCCCTCTTTGCAAAAGGCCTTGAACTCTTACAATCTGTGAGTCAAATTATATCCATGAATCAAGGTAATCAAGTTGATAATATTCAAAAGCCTAGGCCATCATACCTGTGGTAAATCACGATCTGATCCCTTTAGTCGCGAAAATGCCTTGTCACAGAAAACACGGATCTCACTTTTCTCGGAACGATTCGTAAGGTCAGTCCCAGTTAAGCTATCAGCAGATCTATCACACCAATTCTTTGAGAAGCAAAATACAACTACCTACGGTACAGGAAACATCTAACATCAGGAAAAAAGTAGGTAATTTCTGTACTACGGTTATTACTTGAAATAATTCATGTAAACATTCAATTAAATACAAGACATATCGGGTTCACTTAAGGAAAAATTAAATTAAAAAAGACTAATAAATATGTGTAAATGAAACATGACCCAACTTACAGGAAGCAAGGAGTTCTTTGAAAGCTTGTTAACAAGCTGCAACCACATTTGAGCCTCGGATCTCCTTGGACCCCAGTTAGACTGACCAGTGCCTCTGTTTTGATTTCCACGGTTTCCCATATTCTGAGGACCAGAATGCTTAGTCTGTTTGCCACGATTAGACAACTCGTGCTTTTGACCACGTCCTCCACTTTGCACAGCTGGAGACCCTGGTAGAGGTCCAGTACTTCCACCAGGAGTATTAGAGTTTTTCTTCTTCCATGCATCCTTAGCAGCTTTCAATCCCTGGGCTATAAGTGTTTCATTCTCGCATATTTTGTACAGCTCTCCTGAATAAAATATGCAATGCTCCAATGGCACTGGTCTTTTTGTTGTTCTGAACACACAAATATGCCAGTACGTCACAAAGATATGCCACGCAGCTCTAATAATGGGGAAAATGGCTGACATATACAAATACAATAGAGATCTAAGACTTCCCAACATTAAACAAAAGTTGATAAAAACAAGAATAGGAGATGGTATTACCCAGTAAGACGAATATCCTTTTTCTTTGTTCTACTAATCCAGTCAGCAAATTCTTTAGTGTTCGGAACCTGCATATGAATTGCAGCAAACCTTTGTCAATGTGATATATATAAGCTTGCAAGTGGACCTTTTGGGAAGTTGGATAAGCTAAATCAGAAGAAGATTCTTGATCCAAGAAATAGTTAGTTGACCTCCCTTTTTTGGACTTTGTTCCCCATAGAAACTGGCATTCATTTAGAAATAATTTTGATTTTCTTTGGGATAATAGCTTTCCTCGGCTACCTTATATTCTGGTAGGACAACATCATTACTAATATACTTCAGAGTTCCTTGGCAGTTGGCACAGAGTAACTTTCTAAATGTGTTTTTGAAGGCATGATTCAGTCAATATCAAATAAACAAGGAGCACAGAAGCACTTCACAAATTTTTGTCATCACCTGATTCTAAATGCTAGATAAAAATAGTACATGAGCGAGCAACATCATATACAAACATACACGTTCAGGAAGTTAGCGTCAGCCATAAGAATCAGATGCATGCAAGATGTGTATCATGATTTCTCAAGGGAGGCAGAAGGAGCACAAACAGCTGTATGGTTTCATTAGAGGGACACAGAAGCAAATTTACCGTTGCCGAGAGGAGGACGATGTTGACATGCCTTGGAAGCATTATTATAACTTCTTCCCAAACAACACCTCTTTCAACATCATTGACATAATGTACTTCATCAAATATAACCTATTCCACAACAGACCAAATTAAAGTAAGCTTGGGTGCAATCAAAGAAAATAAGAATATATAATTGAAGTTGATCGCAAACAGAAATGCGAACAGAACAAGAAAAGTATACCCATTCAATATCCCGTATGATATCCGCACCCCGATAGAGCATTGATCTTAATATTTCAGTTGTCATGATAAGACAAGAAGCTTCTGGTCTCAAACTAATGTCACCTGTCAGAAGGCCAACATCAAACTTGTCACAAAAATCCCGGTACTTTTGGTTGCTGATAGTTTTGATGGGTGCAGTGTAGACGGCCCTGGTGCAGTGCTGCATGAATTTAAAATCTCGCAATGTCAGCAGAAACACCACTATCTTAAACCAATTTTAGGAGTTGGTATCAAGGATTGCAGAATTTCAGGAAAATGTTCCTGACGAGAGAAGAAACTGGTAAGCATTGACTTACTTTAGATGCAAGTGCAAATGCATATTCTGCAACCACAGTCTTCCCTGCTGATGTATGAGCAGCAACAAATACAGATTCTCCCTTTTCAAGAAAATAGATAGCCTGTAGTCATCGTAGAACAAACATGACCATGCCAAACTGGCATATCAATCTCCAATCAAAAAGCCTCAGTCTTTCAGAAATACTGTCTGCTCTCAAAGCCAAAACGACTTAACTAAACGAAAGTTTTTGTTGCAATCATCATGTTGATATGTTTTTAGATGAAAATGAAATTACTGAGAACATGACCACATGCCAGCAAGATCAATCACTCAATCAAGCTCACAACAAATGTAAGTTTTTCAAACCAATGCAGCCCATGCAAAGGACGGGGAGAGGACATGCAGGGAATGGAATGTGACCAAACAATTTTTTATCCCATACTGCATGCACTTCAAGATTCGAAAGGAATATATGCACCAATCCCCACCTCTTTTTGAAATGCATCCAATTCAAAAGGAAAATTGAGAGCCATGTCAGGCACGAGCTCATAGAAGTGCTTTGCAATCCAATCATTACCCCCAGTGAGAGACAGAACCTGTTGACAATCGAGGATTCAGACAAAATATACAATATAATCCACCAAATAAGTTGACACGGATAATTCTAAAAAAAGTACCACTATCTAACAACAACCTCTTTATTTTGGCTTCCATCATCATTAACATTCCTGTCTGAACTGGTTGTCAATCCACCTGATTCAACAGACAGTATCTCCTCTAAAAAAGATGATTCAGGCTGGGTGGCATTGCTTGGCCCCTCAACCTTCACTTCAACATCTAAGACAGGGACATTGTTTGGTCCCTCAACCTCCACTTCACCATCTGGGTCTGACGATTCCTCTGCATACAAATGGTTTTCAAAATCAGCATTAGTATTAGCAAAAGAAAGCACAAGGGGTTTGCTACACAGGAGCATTGCAAGTTGGCAAGAGCAGAAAAAAAGACTATCCACGAACAAACTTCTCAAAGCTATCAGCAATATTTCCAAATAAAAAAGATGAAAGTTTGCCTTGGGGGCTCGAGGTTACATATAATATCACAACCAACCAAAACACAAGAAAGAAAACTAGAATATGGATAATCCACACCTTCTACTTCCAGCTGAGTAACATCACCTTCATCCCATGCCCTTTTAAATAAGTCATCAAACTGCACAGATAACTCGCCCTGCAGAAAATTCCATGAATGAAAAGACAACTCTCGAGACAAGACAATATATTAGGTAAAGATCATAATCTATCATTGCCTACCCAATTAAACAGAGAAAAGCCTCAAAACTCACCAATTTCTCGTCCGATGTGCTACTAATAGGAGTTTGGTCCTTGTAGACATTCCAGGAGCATGGATATGCCTTAAAAAATGGAACCATAGTTCTTAATTATCAGAATACTTACTGAATAAATAATAAGTTGCCTTCTAATGATTAGTACACGTATCAGGTAGATCACCTTAAGATCTCCCAAGTCTAGTCCATTTTTTAGGCCTGGAGGAGTAGACAGAGCCGGGCCTCCATTCAGCAGTTCACGTACCCATTGCCCATTACGAGCACCATCAGGAATTGTTCTCTCTAAAGAATGACCATCATCCAAACCTCCAGGACGAAAGGGTCGATTATTGATGCTTCCTCTGACAAAATCCTTCGCAGGCCCAGTCATGCGTGGAAGAGGGCCATACTCTTGATCTCCAACAGTTAATTCTAACACATCCACCTAAAAAAACACAACATGCAGTCTCTAGAAGAAGTCAACATTTAGAAGCCTTCCAGTTACATCCCCCAAACCCTATAAGAAGTCTAACAGGCAGGCAACTGATAGTAACGTCCTTTATGCTAGAATGAAAATATCAAGTAGATGTCGAAAAGAAGGAACACGTCTAGCGAGGACCTCATACCTCGACCGAATTGGGCACCCATACTCCTTGTGTAGAACCCTTTTGGTTCCTTCTGAAAGGCAGCTCCCACGTTGGCACCACCACTGACCGAGGCTGTGATGGCTCCAACGGTACTTTTACCCTCTCAAACCAATCAAACTCCCATTGCCTCCCGGCTTTCTCGGCAGAGAATTCCTCCTCGTCTAACCTCGGCAACAAGTACCTTTCCTCTATATGCTCCTTTATAGATTCATAAGTTTCCTCAGGAAATGCCGGGGGCTGCCAGTCACAGTCAAATAAGCATAATGCAATTTCAACATTCAGACACAATTGAAAAACCTAAATAGCAAGGGATACATCTGCTAGAAAACAAACAGTTCCAAGGTGGGGAAAGGGGATAAGAAGTAAAAGAAAGTGCAGAAAACAATAATTCAATGAAGCAGCAGGCATCGTAGGAGAAAGAGTAACTAACGAGAATGAAATCTGGGAGAGACTTGATTGGGTCGTCACGCTCGACGGTGGAGATAGGCTCCACCCGGAGGTGGCCGCTGTAACCGGAGAAGCCGACCCGGAAAGAGAGCTCGTCGGTCGCCTGAATCCGATTCATGCCCGATTGTTGGTAGGATTCGGGGCGGATTCAATCAGTTCACGAACGTGGTACTGATACGTTAGTTATCGTTCCGTCCGTCCCTCCTATTTCATTTGAAAGAGGGTACGGTGTGTTGATCGGCGCAAGGTTTTTCGCGGGTTTAGAATTCAGACTATGGAGTTTGGATTGAGTAGAGAGTAAGACCGATCACTTTGTAATTACTAATTAGGGATGGGAAACGGTGAGCTCTCGATTAACCGTACCAAATAATGCGACCAACTGTTGCTCGATAAATTTTGGCATTACAAATGGTTTGGTACCAAATGAATCGAAAATTCATTTCATTGTAAAATGAATTACCGTGTAGAATTCATATTCAACTGAAATTATATGTTTGGTATGTTATATTCAAATCTTTATAAATAAAATGAAGTGTCTATGTCGTGTAGAATTCATTGTCAAATGAAATCTTGTGTTTGGTATGTCATATGTATTAGTAATTTAGTTAATAAAAGAAGGCAAAATACAGCTGTATATCCACAACTATCAAATTTGTGACAAATATATCCACAACTATCGAAATATACGAAATATCCAAAAATCGGAAGGTTGTGGCAAATCTATCCACTTCCGTTTGAAACTATAACGACATGTCAGACGCCGTTAAATTGAGTAACGGAATGTTGAATCGATGTCATCTCACCTGTCACATAAGCCAAAAAGCAACCATACTTGACACGTGTAATTCAATTAAAAAATATTTTTTGGGGGCAGTCTGCTCGCGTAGTGCTTCTCTCTTCTTTTCCCCAATTCCAAAGTTAGGGTTCCGACTTCTGAAATTGTAGCAAAACCATATCAGATCTTCCCCTGCTTTCTCCGTCCTCTTCCTAAATCACTTTTCAAAACCGTTTGGAATCCAAATCGTTGAGTCGAATTATGAAGCAGAGAGAAGAGAGGCAGATTGCATCGACTGGAGATGGGAGTCACCAGTGATGTTCTTGGTGGTGGTTAATGATGTTTTTGGTGATCAATGATGTTATTAGCTTTCAATAAGGAGACTCGAGGGGAGTCGTCAATGATGTTCTTGGTGGTAGTGATTTTTGTTCTTGGTGGTGGTGAGTTTTGGAGCCTAGGGCAAATCTAGACGGGAGATGGGAGAAGCTATCATGGAAAGAAGATGATAGAACGAAGATGGAGAGCCCAGGTAAAAAGATAGAGGAATTTTTTTGTTGGTGGCTCATTGTCCCATTTCGGGTGAGATGGTGGGTGAGATCCCATTTCGGGTGAGATGGTGGGTGAGATGAAAGAAACACGCCAACTAAGCATCCACCGTCTGTCCAGTCATCAAGTTAACTGATGGAGTTAACGGAGTAGACGGAAATGGATATTTCGTGTATTTCGATAGTTGTGGATATTTTTATCACAAACCTTATAGTTGTGGATATACAACTATATTTTTGCCAAAAAAGAAGGTATTTATGTCATTCTATTATAATTAGTAAATACTTGTCGAATTCATTTGGAAATTCCATCTCAATTTCTCGAAACTGCTATAACTAGTTCCAATTCCACATAATTTAAAATTTAGAATTGAAAATGAATTCATTTTAACACCAAACACAAAACTATTTTATTTCAAAATGAATTCCTCAAAACTTATAGAATTCATTTATACCAAACAGTATGTTCGTCACTCTAAAATACCTTATTGTTCACCCTAATTTTTATCGAAATGACTCAAATATCCTTAATTTAATATTTGTATTTCAAAACATATTAACACTAAAACAAACCGAGACAACTATACAGGAAGAAACCCAAAATACACATGTTTAAAAAAAATCCCAAAATACACATGTTTTATGAATAATTCCCAAAATACACATGTTTGTGCATCACTGCGGTCGTCAACCGTAGTAAATGCAATCACCGTGACAGGCGAAAGCGGTGAATGCATCATCGCGGTTGACGACCGCGGTGAATGCATCATCGCGGTTGACGACCGCGGTGAATGCCTTACGTAACACTGAAACTTTCAACTAACTTTGTGCTCGGTTATTCGATTGTAACGATTTTTTTTTATTCCCCATATCTTTTCAAGATATTTCAATCTAAAACAGGACTTCAACCCAAAAAAAAATTCGATAAGATGAGGTTGGATAATCGATTTGGTTTGGTTAAAGTTTTTAGCTTGTTTGGTTTAGGTGGTTTGGTTTGGTTTCATACACTCCTAACCAGTCAAACCAAATTAACCAGTTAAGTAATTAGTCATATATCTAACGTATATTATATACACATACTTAATACTTTGCATAACCACTCAAGAGTTAACGTTCATCCCTTTTAAACTCAACAAATAAGCGCTTGGGCCAAAAAAATCCTACCGAATGGAGAGATTGTTGGCGAGGTGACAAAACCCTATACTTTTCATTACAAAACGAATAAACCAGAAAAAGATGGATTGTTTTGTGAAAGAATTTTTGGCCCAATAAAAAGTGGAATTTGTGCTTGTGGAAATTATCGCTCAATATTACTCATATAATGTATATTTGTATATGTAAAATGTAGACCACAACATATGGACGCCTAATTTAGATAATTTTCATACATTATGATGGATGAAAACTTGAAAGGAAGGTTATTTCCAGCCTATGATAATTGCTAAGAGACTAAATCAATTTACACAAACACAACAATTCATTAACTCATACCATTGTCATAAATTTTTGTTAGGTGAATACTTCTAGTTCTATACTAATCGTAAGATAATTGTCTTAGTTGCATGCATTTTTGTTAAGGGTCAACTATAACTACGTGTTGATTGTTATGTTTTATTCATTATATAAATTGTGAATTGTTACATTAATCGGAAAATTTTCATCGTCAATGATAATGTGATTTTATATTGGTTAATCTGGTTAACCAATTAACCAAACCGATTAAACTTTAGTTTGGTTAATTTGGTTGTTGTATTAGTTTGGACGGTTTGGTTATGATATTGTATTCCATGGTTAATGGAATTTAGCCTTATTTGGTTTGGTTATAACCATGGTAACCATTTGAACACCCCTAGTCACCATTGAGAAGCTAAACAATTTATCTATAGTGGAATTTTTTGAAATTACCATAAGTTTATATTTAGTAGATGTTTAGATTATATAGATTTTAATAGGTGAACTGAAATTAGAATTACACATGAAATAGATAGATGCCATAGATGCCCTGACGTCGATCAACCCCCGTCACGGAATGTCCAACTGCCTTTTGTGCCCACGGGTTCATTAGTTCCTCTCATGGTTTGGTGTACCGTGAATGGCCATTTCTTATTTGTCCTTCTCTCTCCAACCTCATCTTATCGAATTTCTCCAATAATCGCCAATAAGTATGTTGCACAAGAGAAGTTATAAGAAGTGAACGAATACCTTTAAAAACGCCATTGATGCTCTTCTGCCATGTTGGATGTCAGGATAGACCATCGACGCCCACCATTATAGTTATCATGTGCTAAGCTCCAAAGAATTTGATTTTGGTCCACCCAGTTATCACAAGAAATATTTCTATCAGCGACCATCTTCTTAAATTTCTCAACTTGACGATCGAACTTCTCCAACCGTTTCTCTCCGGCTAACACAATAAATAACCACACGAGTTAGATATATAAATCCATTACAAATTTAAATGAAAATAAATAATACATAACAATAAATAACCATAACAATGAAAGCTTACCAACTCGAAAAAGTTGATTATACATAATCCTTCTTTTAGTCTTCCTTTGCAAGTTGCTTGCATAGTGCCGCATGAACCACCTCCACTCTCAACCTCTTCCGATGTCATTCATGCCTACATAGAGTCCTGCATGTCTATATGAGATGATACATACATCATTTCGATCGGTCAAACCTTGAACTTGTCTTATGAACCATGGTCAACTATCAGCATTCTTGCTCTCCACTATGACAAATGCAATTGGAAAAATCTTCTTCCGAGCATCAAATGAGCTCGCCATGAGTAGCACTCCTTTATACTTCCCATTAAGAAATGTTCCATCAACAACCATGACTCCTGGACAATTCTTGAATCCATCTATACAAGGTTTATAAGCCCAGAATACTCGTTGAAATATCAAATGACCTGGTTGCGATGAAGGAACTCTTACCCAATCAATCATTGATGTTGGCATTTTTCTCTTTACCACCCGCAAGAATGTTTGCAAATAATCGTAGGATTCTTCCCAATTTCCATGCAACTTCTCCAATGCTCTTTGTTTCCCATACCAAGCCTTCTTGTAAGTAACTTGCATATTAAACTTATCTTTCAACTCGGCATGCACAGTTAGAACACTCATATTTGGTTGGGCACGTACCAAATGCTTCACAGACTCGGATATAACGTCGACATCAAGATGGCGATGATCCGTCAGTTGAGTCGTACTACTACAAGAATGCACCAACTCCGTCTTTCTCACAGTCCATTCGCTTCCAACATTTCGACATCCAACCCGGACCATCCAAGCACAATTGTCATCCTTGTGCTTCAAGCATCTGACCTTCCAGATTGAAGGTGACGACTCAACCACTACATACTGAAAGTTGTGTTGTATTGCATAGTATTTAATCACCAAATATGCAGCTTGTTTCGAATGAAATATTTGCCCTTGTAGAATTCTCCTTCAAAACCAACAACAATAGGCATTGGAATTACGCCATATGAATCAGCATATGATAATTCTCCGCCCTCTTCATTACCCTGCAAGTAAAATATGGAGGATAATTAGGCTTCTCTTCTTCCCCATCTTCCTCCTCCTCCTCCTCCTCATCTTCCTGCTTACCGTCATCATAGTCATGATCAGATGGCACACTCCATGTCTCATCTTCTTCCTCTCCACCCCGATCCTCAGTGATCTCAACATGTATCTCAACACCCAAACAATAAGGGTTTTGTGCCATAAAATCGAAAAGCACATTCAACCTATCATCATCCACAATAGGCATCGCATAATGAAATATAACACCATTCTGCCATTCTGGAAGACAGTAAGTGAAACCTGTGATTATATCACTAGCTTGTACTGCTTCGTCTTTACGTCGTATCCTCGGAATTAGATTCTCGCAAAATTAGTGATATGTAATCCTGGATGGAACTTTCAACTGAAAACTTCTACCACCCACGAAATGGACGCCAAAATTGTCCGCTACTTTCTTCGATTTCCAGCGAACTACTAGTTCAAATCTTCAAATATCCCTACATAAAAAACCAAATTCACTAATTACTAACTAAACAAAATAATAATAGCATTCTAAGAATATAATTTAAAAAATAAATGCATCTCTTACCTATTAGCCATCTTTGCAACAACCAGCAGAGCTTCTCTCGTTTTAACTTTGCGGCTCTACTGGTCAATTATTTTGGTAATCTTCGTAGACTACGTTACCAAACACGCCTTAGACTCGAGCGGGTACGTCGTATTTCTTCGGCAAACGAAATTAAAAAAAAGCGCATCCCCTGAGACTCAGTCGGGTCCGCCCATTTTGTATTAAAAATCCTTAAAAGAGGCTCCGCCCGAGTCTCAGGCGGTCTTGCCATTTTTGCTCTCCAAAATTCAATATTTGTGTCAATAGTTTTAAAACCGTCATATTGATGGTAAATAATAAAAATAATATTTTAGGAATTAACCCGGTCTCCCACATCCAGGACGCCGTCATCTACTCCAAACAGCTCACATCCACCTCCGAATCCACAACGGTTGTCATGATTACGAAGGCCTCTCCTACACATCCGAGACAATCCCCTTTCCTGATCCTTGACCTCTTGAAGCTCCGCGTCGTCTACGATGTTGACATCGCCGCCAACACCGATGGGTCCAAGACGATGCCACCGCCAGCGAGGCCTACTACCGTATTTACGAGAAATCCCTCACCCACGGCTTCCTCGCCACCTCTGCAGCAGCCTCGGCGTCGACGGGCACATCGCCGACGGAGTATACGACTCCATGATATGGAAATACGGCATGTGACCGTTACGCTCGATGACGATTTGTTCCCTGATCCGGATGAATCTTCGGAGTGATCTTCGCCTGGAAATTGAAATTGGTCCGCGATCTCGTTCCCTCACTGGAACTATTCTTAGATTTCTTCTGCAAGGGGCACTTACAGGCTCCTTTCGAGGCCGAGATGTTCCATCTGATCAGAGAAGCATCAATTTTGCATTTTTTAGTTATTACAGGTTCATGCGCGGGGTTGGGAGAAAAAAATCCCAAAATACACATTTTTTAAAAAAAAATTCCAAAATACACATGTTTTGGCATCACTGCGGCCGTCAACCGCAGTGAATGCATTCACCACGGCAGGCGAAAGTGGTGAATGCATCACCGCGGTTGACGAAGGCGGTAAATGCCTAACGTAACACTGAAACTTCAAACAAACGTAATTTTGCGCTCGGTTATTCGATTGTAGCGAATGTTTATTTATTGCACGTAACTTTTCAAGATCTTTCAATCTGCAACATGCCTTCATCCCAAAAAAAATTGTTTTCTACCCGGAACGAGCAATTTATCGATTTTGAAAAACTTTGAAAGACCATAACTTTGTGCTCCGCAATCCGAATGTCATGAAACTTTTTTTATTTTGCATAACGTTTGATGTACTACAACTTTGATTCTAACCATAAAATTGGAATGTATGTGGATTTGTGAAAAGTTAAGGCAAAGTTATTCCCAAAATCCAGTATACCCAAAAATATTTATTTTTAAAAAAAATACTTTCCTAGTAAAAGTTGTAGTTCTGAAAAAGTTGTGCTCAATAAAAAAAAACTTTACGACGCTCGTATTGAGGAGCTAAAAGTTATGGCCTTCCAAAGTTTGGCAAAATCGAAAAATTGCTCATTCAAGGTAACAAACGACATTTTTTTAGACAAATGCTTGTTGCAGATTGAAAGATCTTGAAAAGTTATGCGAAATAAAAAAAATTTCACTGCAATCGGATAATCGCGCGCAAAGTTATGTTCATTTGAAGTTTCGGTCTTACGTCAAGCATTCACTGCGGTCGTCAACCGCTGTGATGCATTCACCGCTTTCGTCTGCCGTGGTGAATGCGTTCACTGCGGTTGACGGCTGCAGTGATGCCCAAACATGTGTATTTTGTGAATATTTTTTATAACGTGTGTATTTTGGGAATTTTTTAAAAAATATATGTATTTTTGGAATTCATCCAGGGTCGGAGGAATGGATTTTGGTTTTTCAATTTTGCATTTTTGTTATTGCAATTATTATTTATCTTTTTATTTTTTGTGATAATGAGGTGGAATTATTAAAAGATTAAATTTAAAATTTTTTAATTGCCACGTCACTTATCTAACGGTCAACTCTCAGAGTTGACTGCCAGTGTCACTTTAGATAAAGCTAAGAAAAATTAACGGAGAGTAACCAAACTTGAACTGTTGTACTAATCTAAATGACTACGGATGGAATAAATTAATTTTACAGGCAAACGTGGAATTTTCTAAGTAATTCTAGTGACCAAACTTGTAATTTACCCGTAAACTCTTTTACCAATTATGTTTTTTTATCGTAGATAAATTGTAAATTGATAGGAGTACATGAGATTGAAACTTAAAAGTGGCGGTCAATTACTAATTAACATGTCAATGAAAGAGCCATTTCTGTCATGCGGTGGATAGCTTTGTTATTTCCCTAAAAAAAGTGAAACATACTAAAGATCATAAATAAATAATTCACCAACTATGTTCGCAGCAATTTGTGATTAACCTGCATCACAGTTAACCGTTAGTTATAGTTAACAGGAGTAGTAATTGAAATATCTGCTTAAAGCTTACCTTTCTCCTGGTTCGTGAACCTATCTTCCTATACACATTCCAAGCTTTCGCCATCTTCTCAGAATTTAACGAAGAAGAAAGCACAGAGCAATCCAAAATGGATGACCAAACTCCACTCAATTGTTAGGTTTTCTTTTTCATGAAGGCATAAGCAAAGAGAATCATATTACAAGACCAACAATAACGACATGCGGTAGTCTGTTTGCAATCGAACTACCGATGAAACAGTTTATTTTGCCTCTACATGAGTAGTTCTAAAAAAGTTTCGATGAGCAAAAATACACAATATAAACGCAAATAATGTAAAATAAAGTAAACGCGGAAGCAAACAACACGACGATTTACGTGGTTTCCTCGTTCAGTGTGAACGAGACTACTCCACGGAGAGCCGAAGCTCTCAGCTAATCTCTTCTTAGTTTCGGCAGCTTAGAGTACTGCTCTCTTTTTTCAACCACCTAAACCTGGCGGCTGCTAACCCTTAATATACCCTTTTGCAATCAACTAGGGTAATAGGGTTCTGCTGGTCAATAACAAAAAGGTCCTCTCACATAAATAATATATACAATACGATCCCGCTCAACACTCCCCCTCAAGCTGATGCATGAAGATCTCGAATGCCCAGCTTGGACAATAGAAACTCGAACTGCTCCGTTCCTAGTGCCTTAGTGAATATATCTGCCAGCTGAGATGAGGTACTAATCTTCGTCGACTCAATCTCCCTGGAGGCCACTCGTTCTCGTACGAAATAGCAATCCATTTCCACGTGCTTTGTCCGCTCATGGAAAATCGGATTTGCCGCGATATGTAGTGCAGCCTGGTTATCACAATGGAGTATGGTAGGGCCTGTCTGTGGTGCTCCAAGTTCTGCTAGTAAGAACCGCAACCACAAAACTTCACTGACTGTACTCGCCATTGCCCTATACTCCGCCTCTGCCGAAGAGCGAGATACTACCTTCTGCTTCTTCGTTCTCCACGAGATTGGTGCACCACCTAGTTGTACATAGTATCCAGTAGTCGATCTCCTAGTTGCCTGGCAGCCCGCCCAGTCTGCGTCGCAGTATGCCGTGAGGTCGAGGTGTCCACCTGCCGGGAAAAACAAGCCTTGTCCCGGCGATTTCTCCAGATAGTGAAGGACTCTCATGGCTGCCGCTACATGCTCTGGACTAGGACGGTTCACAAACTGTGAGAGAATATTAACAGCGTAAGAAATGTCAGGACGTGTTACCGTCAAGTACAGGCGCCGCCCCACTAGTCGCCGATAGCTACCAACATCATCAACCACCTCCTCCGTTGGTTTGGTGAGTGTGTGGTTTTGTTCCATCGGGAATCTGCTTGGCCTTGAGGCTGTGACACCGGTGTCCCTCAAGATATCCAAGGTGTACTTTCTTTGGCTTAACACTACTCCATCTGTTGATCTCGCCACTTCTATACCGAGAAAATATTTCAGGTTACCCAGGTCTTTAATGCTGAACTTTTTGTCTAAGTACGTCTTGACTTGAGTAATAAAGGCTTGATCTGTACCTGTCAAGATCACATCATCAACATATATTAATGCCGCAACAAAAATATTGTCATGCTTATATATGAGAAGAGAGTGATCGGCCTTAGAGGGTTTGAAGCCGAGCTCCGCAAGAGCGAGAATGAACTTCTGGTACCAATTGCGCGACGCCTGTCTCAGACCGTACAAAGACTTCTTTAGTCGGCAAACTCTCGTGTCTCCTGGTTCACCGAAGCCCGGAGGTAGCTTCATATACACCTCCTCTTCAAGATCTCCGTGAAGGAACGCATTGTTCACGTCGAGCTGATGTAGTGGCCATCCACGATTAACTGTTACTGCAATGAGAACTCGAACGGTGACAATCTTGGCTACTGGTGCAAAGGTGTCATGAAAGTCTATCCCCTCCAGTTGGGTGAATCCCTTTGCAACCAAGCGCGCCTTAAAATGCTCTACAGTGCCATCAGGCTTATACTTCACTTTGAAGACCCATTTTGCCTCGATAGCTTTCTTTCCTAGTGGTAGGAACGCAAGATCCCATGTTCCATTTGCAACTAGAGCCTCTATCTCTTTTCTCGTGGATTCCCGCCAACGAGGATCCCTCATAGCTTCCATGAAGCTCTTCGGTTCCTCTGCCTTGCTAATGGCCGCAAGATAATCCTTATGTTCTGGGGAAAACCGGTGGTAACTCACCTGGTTTGACATCGGATATTGAACTTCCGAGTTATCCCGCGCCTGTCCTGCAAACTCTGTGTCATAGATATCAACAAGATGTCGCGTCGGACGTCGCACACAAAGACCACGACCCTTTTCATGGACATTCTGCTCCTCCATGACCTGCTCGTCGTCTGCCTCACTTCCCTGCTGCTCTTCCCCATGTTCCTTGCTTGGCAAACCATCATGCACGTCCGTTGCATGCATCCCATGCAACGCATCATCGTCATCGACGTGTTCCGTGAGGTGCTGGTTGGGACACATGTCCACCGAACGTGGTATCCCATCGCCACCATTATCATCCATGCTAGCCTTGTAAGGCAAGCTATCCTCCACAAAATGACAGTCACGTGACGTGATAATTCGCCGAGATCGAAAATCATACACCCTGTACCCCTTTTGTGAAGTTGGGTAACCGATGAACACACCACGTCTCCCCCTCTCGACGAACTTATCTAGGCCGTGACCGGTATCCTTAGTGTAGACAAGGCAACCAAAATTCCGCAGGTGATGATAGGTAGGCGGACGACCAAGTAAAACTTCGTAAGGGGTTCGATTACCGACAACACTGGAAGGTAAGCGGTTAATCAGGTAAGTCGCCGTGAGGACGCACTCCCCCCAAAACCGAACGGGCAGACCAGAGTGAAAACGGAGCGCTCGTGCTGTCTCAAGAAGATGCCTGTGTTTGCGCTCGACAACTCCATTTTGCTGTGGAGTATTGACACAGGAAGTCTGGAAACGGATTCCATGTTGTTCATAATAGTCCAACAAGCTCCCACACTGGAACTCCATCCCGTTGTCAGCCTGGATACATCGAACCTGACCTGCAAATTGAGTCCTGACCATCTGACAAAAAAGTCGAACATAGCGCTCAACATCGGACTTGAATTTGAGCAAGTAAACCCATGTTGCTCTACTGAAATCATCCACGACTGTGAGAAAATACCGTGAACCATCTAAAGCCGGAGTACGATAACCTCCCCAAATATCCATGTGCACAACATCAAAACAGGAGCGAGTCTTAATCGGATGAGACAAAAAAGGTTCCCTAGTGAGTTTAGCACGTAAGTACGAGTCACAATCTTGTGCTTTAAAAGAAAAATCCGACAAAAACAACGAGGTCCTCAATGTATGAAGTTTTGCAACGGACGGATGCCCCAATCTAGCATGCCAAAGCGCCAAAGATGTCTTGCTGGCCGCGGCAGCAAAGACTGCAAACGACTTCTCATCTAGTTTGCCTAAGCCCTCTGTCCGCTGGAGATAGTATAGCCCTTCACGAGCTTGTCCCAGTCCAATCATAGTCTTAGAGCGCGAGTCCTGAATCATACAAAAATCCCCCATGAAGGTTAAGATCACACGATTTTCTTTTGTCAGTCGACTAACCGATAACAGATTACACTTGAATGAGGGCACATGGAGAACACGTTCTAACCGAAGGTGTTTATTTAAAACAACTGATCCAATTCCTTGCACCGGTATACTAGTCCCATCCGGGATGCGAACGGGAGGGTAAGTACCCGCAGTATCCACCTCACTTAGCCAGCTTGCATCTCGAACTATGTGTTCATTACATCCTGAATCTACGAGCCATTCAAACAGTTCAGGAGATTTATCGGCCATGTGTGCTGTCGGATCCGGGGTCGGCACTGGAGGAGGCGTCAGCATTTGCTTTAGCTGCGCAAACTGAGCTGCGGATAGGCCAGGAATTGGGTTGTCGTCCACTTCAACGTTCGCTGCTCTTGGCTGAGTCTGCTTGCCCTCTCCCTTATTTCGGCGCTGAACTGCCCCTCGCTCTCCTTGGCGCCCTTTGCCTTGATCCCCTGGGTAGCCAATTAACTTGAAACAAGCTTCCCGTGAATGACCAAGCTTGTTACAATGACTGCAGCGGGGCTTCTCATCTTCACCTTCCCTCTCCTGCCGAGATTGGAAAGCAGCTGCTTCTACCTGTGGACGTCGCCCACCAGTGATGTGCTTCTGCTGCTCTTCTGCAACCACCATCTGGTACGCTTCTGCTAGGGAAGGAGTAGGCTTAACACTGAGAATCTGCGAATGAATGACTGCAAAGGCATCGTCCAAACCGAGCAGAAAATCGAAAAGCCTCTCTGTCTCCTCTTTCTCCCTAACTTGACGTCCAATGTCACAAGAACAACATCCGCACGAGCAGCGCGGTGTAAGTGAAACTGAATGAAGCTCATCCCGGTAGGTAATCAGCTTCGTGTAAAACACGGAAACGAAGAGCTTCTCCTGCCTCAGGGACCCGATGGACATACGAAGCTCATAGGCCCTGGTTGCGGAGCCCTTGCCGAACCGCTGCTGTAGGTCGGCCCAAATATCGCGTGCTGTTCTCGCCGCGCGAACGCTGTTCCTCACCTCCTTGCTCATGGCTGTCTTAAGCCAGCCTTTGACAGTTGCATCGCATCTGCCCCATGCATCATCCTTGATTCCAGGTCCTGCCTTCGACCGAGGAAAAGAGCCATCGACAAATACGAGCTTGTTCTTTGCGATAAGGGTTTCAGTCATATCATTCACCCATTCGCTATAGTTGGAGTCTGTCAAGAGATCACTTCCAAATAATTGGCCTGGATTCTCTGACGGGTGAAGATAGAGGGGCGAGGTCAGCGAAATAACATCTACGTCGATGACGACGGTTTTGCCGCCTGAGCCGCTATCTTCTCTTGTAGTCATCTTTCAGTCTGGAACGATTACGCCAGCTCTGATACCATGTAAAATAAAGTAAACGCGGAAGCAAACAACACGACGATTTACGTGGTTTCCTCGTTCAGTGTGAACGAGACTACTCTACGGAGAGCCGAAGCTCTCAGCTAATCTCTTCTTAGTTTCGGCAGCTTAGAGTACTGCTCTCTTTTTTCAACCACCTAAACCTGGCGGCTGCTAACCCTTAATATACCCTTTTGCAATCAACTAGGGTAATAGGGTTCTGCTGGTCAATAACAAAAAGGTCCTCTCACATAAATAATATATACAAAACGATCCCGCTCAACAAATAACATAAATATATCATAATAAAAAAAACTCATCCAAGATTGCCTTGCACCTATAAATGTGAAACTTCCTTAAGATCATACCCGATGACTAGTTGCAATTAGGCACAATATGCCAGTTATGCATTAAACGTCCTCTACTAACATTCAAAGGGAAAATAGCACAACGATTAAAAAAAAACCAAGATTCCAAAATAAAATTTACCTAATAAAATAAGATAAAGTCATCATCCATACTTAAAAGCAGCAAAATATCCTGATGACTTCCCGTTAACCATTACAGAAAAAGTAGTGGTAGTTACATACATTCCCCATATCAAGTTTCAAAATCATTAATTTCTCGCGACCATGGCGCTTATTCTTAACTAGTATTGGGCCCGGCCCGTTGGCCGGTACAATATATAACTTCAACGTGTATTGTGTTTTACTCTATACATAATGAATTGCAACGAAAATGATATTATGTATCGAGGAAGTTCCGACTATACGGATGATTTTGCCTTCTCATAAATTTGTTGTTCCACATTATAAAAAAAAAAAATTTGTTGTTCCATTATGAAACCACTTGATACTGATAGCCCTTCTTAAGTAGAATCTCTGGATGCTATCCCACTTCACTTTCCAAACCTGGAATAGTTTATTTGGCGGTTTTCCCAGAAAGCCACTCACAAAGCTTATATCAAGTAATTTCCATGGTACTGTGTGTTTTTTATATTTCACAATGCATATCATAGTCAAAACACCTTACTGATAAAACTTTCCACAATGCTCATCTTAGTAAAAACATACTACCAAAGAATTAGGCAGGTTAGAGGGCTTCTTGTTTTCCGAGTTTGTGTTCCCTTTTTTCTATATCCTGCTTTAGCATAGAGGTTTCTATTTTGTTCTCTTTTAGAGCCCCTAACCCTACTGATAAAGCTTACCACAATGCACATCATAGTAAAACCACCGTACTAACGAAGCTCAGTAAAGAACTGAAATATATAATTAGCTATCTTAAGAGTCAATACTTTAAGCTCACAAACTAATCATGACACCCAAGCTTCTAATAGGATGCCACAACACAATCTAAAAGTTTAAATATTTGTAACAACAAACCATTCACAAACATCCGACTATGGAAAAAAAAATACATAAAATAAGCTTCACAACGTGGCCCTTTACTGCACAAAGCTTGTAGCAGTACTACTTCACTTTCTTGGGGCCATAGTCGTTCCATATTTCCTTTTCTGCCTGTAAAGGTTGTTCATCGAAGAACCTCAAGAGTTGGCTTAGTCTTGCTGGTTTGCTCAAACACATGAGCTGCAATTGTGTGGAGTTGACTTCCTGTCTCACTCAATTGTTGCAATCATAATAGAGCAATAAGATAAAATGAAATGATGAAATTAACCTGGTACACTCTTCTGCTATATGAATGGATGTGTTGCTGGTATATTCATCACTTACTCAAGTGGATCATGCTCCACACTAACCACTCGGCTTGACCTGTAATTTTAACCTGTAATTTCAGTCTCATGTACACAACTTGCTGGGTTTGTTGAGGAATGGGTTGTTTCTTTCTCTGATTTGTTTGGAATGATACATCAACCATTCCCCAAAGAAATGCAGACCATTATGCTCCAAAATTGCAAAATAAGCTTCACCATAAGTTTCTTGCAAATAGAGTTTGACTCTATATATACCTAAAGCCAATATGGAATCAAACTGAAAATCTTATGCTTCTACATGTCTATTCCTCCAAATCAACTAACCTCATGATTTCTATAACATTGAAACAACAAAATTGCAGACTGCAGTTTGTAGGAAAACAGAATCAGGTAGCTTACTTGCCTGAGTGCTTCAGGGGGTCTTGTCTTGATTTTCGTTTAATGAAATTTCAACAGGGATTTCTGGGAAATGTCATTAAGCAATAAACAAAGCATATTAGAGAAGCTGGATATAAAGAACCAATTCATAAAAGAAGAGATCGATGTGCAATTGTACAGACACATACAGGGTAAAAACACTGCTAAGTAAAGAGAAGTTTCATGCATCCTCATATGAAACCATGATACGAATGCATCCACAAACTTCCTATCATTAAATAAGCCTAGCTTGAGGGATAACTTTGTAGGAACCATAAATGAATATGATGCTCTTATTCTTAACAAATTGACCGAGAAGCCAGAAAGGGTCAAGAATCACATAATCACCTAAGGAGTGGAGATGTTAAATTGGACTTTTAAATTGCATCATCTAAACCACTGAAGAATGATCAATAGTAGGGATAAGCAAAGGGAAGGAGGCATGATAGTCTTGCGGTTAAGCTAATAGCAACAAAGAATCTCTATACTTTCAACACCTATTAATATCTTCACTGTGGAAATTGAGTTTAGACAAAATCAACAGCTCTGAATGACAAAATAGAAAGCAACCTAATAGAGGAAACTTACGGAGGAGAAATATATAGTTTATCGCGGCGACCAGGTTGTTTGGGCAGTCGCAGTAGCAGCAGCGGAGGGGAGTGTATGACTGTTTGTTGAACGTAAATAGATAGAGAGTCACGGAGGGAATTTCTTCTCGAAGGGGTTGGGAGAGAGACGGCAATAGTGAGAGAAGTCGGTTAATTTTTCCCGGGGCTTGCGAGACATACACAGTAGAAAGAAAAACAGCGAATGAGATAATCAGAGAAGTACAGAGACGACGACGACAGGGGATTACAACTTAGTTATCCTACTAACAAGTATATTTGTTAGTAGATACTAACAAAGCCAGATGTGCCTCCACGTCACCAAGGCTCTGAAAAGAAAATTGGGCCCGCAGGGCCCACAAATTCAAAAAATCCAAAATTTGAATTCCCAAAACCCTACCCATATTTGCTTTCTCAGGCCACCATTCATTCGTACATTTTCCCTCTCTCTCTAAAAAGCGACTGCCCTCCCTCTCTCCCCCTCTCCCTTTCCTCACTCGATCATGTGTGACGACTACGACAGTGGCGCGAGGGATCTACGGCGACGGCGGCGAGGACGACGGTCACTGAAGTTGCGACGACGGTTTGACTTTGACGGTTGTGGCGAGGACGACGGTCACTGAAGTTGCGACGACATGTTTTGACAGCATCGCGACAGTGACGACAGCGAGACAAGAACTACGCCGATAAGGTATGTCTTCCCCTTGCTTCATTCGTACTTAAGATTGTTTTATTTCATAGACTCATTTTTAGGTTTTGGCATGGATCGATTTAGGGTTTCATGGATTGGGGGTTTTGGCTGGCTTTGCTTGTTAATGGTTCGTTGGGGTTTGTGTGATGCATACCGGTGTTAACGGGTTTGGATATTTCTGTGGATTGCCTAGATATCAGTTGTGGATTGCCTGGATATCTTTTTGGTATATCTGAATATCTGTTGTGAGTTGCCTGGATATCAATTGCCTGGATAGTTGTTTGACGAATTTGGATATTCTACTGTACAGGTAAATCACAACAATGGCAAGAACTCAAGCTGCTGCATCAATGAGGCCCAGAACAGAACTCGAGGCAGCGCGACAGTGACGGCAGCGAGACAAGGACTATACCGATAAGGTATGTGTCTTCCCCTTGCTTCATTCGTACTGAAGAATGTTAGATTTCATAGATACGTTTTAGGTTTTGGCATGAATTGTATTTAGGGTTTCATGGATTAGGGGTTTTGGCTGGCTCGGCTTGTTAATGGTTCGTTGGAGTTTGTCTGGATGCCTAGGATTCGTTTTCATGGTTATGTGATGGATACGAGTGTTGACGGGTTTGGGTATTGCCCTAGTGTGCATGATTACTATTTTGGGTAACCCAATTTTATTTTTTTTGCTTATTTGACTGGATCTGGATTGCTTGTGTTCTGGGTTTTGTGTATCTAGGATTCGATATTAATTCTTTTGCAGCAGGATATTTGTTTTCATTTGGCTGGATATCTGTTTGGTATATCTAGATATCAGTTGTGAATTGGCTGGATATCTGTTTGCTATATCTGGATATCAGTTGTGAATTGTCTGGATAGTTGTTTGACGAATTTGGATATTCTAGTGTACAGGGAAAACACAACAAAGACAAGAACTAAAGCTGCTGCAACAATGAGGCCCAGAACAGAAGCTGAAACGTCGAGGTCTTAACGTTTTAAACAACAATAGCAAGAGGAGGAAGAAGAATATGATTTTGGGATGCAGAAACTGAGCATGAAGAATATGATTTTATGGGACTATAACAGCCGGTCCGATGAAATAATTCAAGGTGCAAAAGATTGGAATGCGAAGAAAGAAAAAGGGAAAAGGAAGAGAAGTTGATTGTAGACTTGTGTAGTGTGATATTGGTTTGTAAAACTGAACTTAGGGTTGGATAATATTTAGGGATGGATGCTATTTAGGGTTGGATAATATTTAGTGATAGATGATGGTTTGTAGCAGTATGAATGATATTTTGCCAGATGTTGGATATAATTACCAATATAAGTTCTGATTGAAAAATATATTGTGACCTCCCATGTAAATATCTGTCTTTTTTGTAGACTAATATCCTTAAAGAACAGACAAATACCTTCTTTATTTAAACAAATATCAGCAAATCACAGACACATATCCGAAAGACCCAGACAGATATCCGAAAGACCTAACAAATATCCGAAAGACCCAGACTAATATCAATAGAGCCCAGACTAATGTTAATGATTCGTTGGGGTTTGTCTGGATGCCTGTGATTCGTTTTCATGGTTGTGCGATGGATACGAGTGTTGACGGGTTTGGGTATTGCCCTGGTGTGCAGGATTACTATTTTGGGTAACCCAATTTTATGTTTTGCTTATTTGACTGGATCTGGAGTTCTGGGTTTTGTGTATCTGGGATTCGATATTAATTCTTTTGCAGCAGGATATATGTTTTCATTTGCCTGGATATCTGTTTGGTATATCTAGATATCAGTTGTGAATTGACTGGATATCTGTTTGCTACATCTGGATATCAGTTGTGAATTGCCTGGATAGTTGTTTGACGAATTTGGATATTCTAGTGTACAGGGAAAACACAACAATGACAAGAACTAAAGCTGCTGCAACAATGAGGCCCAGAACAGAAGCTGAAACCTCGAGGTCTAAACGTGCTAAACAACAACAACAAGAGGAGGAAGAAGAATATGATTTTGGGGATGCGGAAATTGAGCATGAAGAATATGATTTTATGGGACTATAACAACCGGTCCGATGAAATAATTCAAGGTGCAAAAGATTGGAATGCGAAGGAAGGAAAAGGGAAAAGGAAGAGAAGTTGATTGTAGACTTGTGTAGTGTAATATTGGTTTGTAAAACTGAACTTAGGATTGGATAATATTTAGGGATGAATGCTATTTAGGGTTGGATAATATTTAGGGATAGATGATGGTTTGTAGCAGGATGAAGGATATTTTGCCAGATGTTGGATATAATTAGTAACATAAGTTCCGATTGAAAATATATTGTAACCTCCCAGGTAAATATCTGTCTTTTTGTAGACTAATTTCCTTAAAGAACAGACAAATACCTTCTTTATTTAAACAAATATCAGCAAATAATAGACACATATCCGAAAGACCCAGAGAGATATCCAAAAGACCTAAACAAATATCAGAAAAACCCAGACTAATATCAATAGAGCCAAGACTAATGTCTTTGTAGACTAATATCCTTAAAGAACAGACAAATACCTTCTTTATTTAAACAAATATCAACAAATCATAGACAAATATCCGAAAGACCCAGACAGATATCCGAAAGACCTAAACAAATATCCGAAAGACCCAGACTAATATCAATAGAGCCTAGACTAATATCCTTATACCCTTCTTTTGTAGACTAATATCCTTGGAGCCCAAACTAATAGTAGATAAAGATTGATAACACTTTGAATCAGAAATAGAAACAGACCTGGAGCACAGAAATATCAGATCACAACATACCACTTTTGAAGAGAGAGAGAGAGTTG